ATGAAAGTTCAGTTGAATAAAGGGAACCATCCCCAGCCTGGGTTCAGTTTTAGGTTGGGTATATCATTATTTTTTATTGCCGAGATGAGGTTTACCCTGAGGTAATTGATCAAACATTGTAATGGAAAATTCCTCATTTATAGTATACACCGGGTCATTTTACCGTGGAAGTCAGGATGGAAAAACCTGTCGGTTTACATGGAAGTCGTTTACGTCCAATTCCTGGGGAAAAAGTGAAACTGGGCTACCGGGCCAGCAAATGCAGAAAAACTGACCGTGAATCTCTTACATGGAAGTAGCTCATCAGATATGTCAGTAACATATTCATCATGGAAGTGTGAAAACTGAGACTAAAAACCCTTACGTGGAAGTAACTTGAGGGTCCAGACATCAGGTTGGCAACTTCTATGTTAACATGTTCTCCCCTCATGTTGAATACATCCTTCTAGGGCGATCCCTAAAACCCCCAGACTGACCGCCATATCATTTTTTTCTTCTTTGCATCTATCTTCTCACCCCTGTCATGTCCGAGCGATTGAGGATGCAACCTTTCAAAATCAATGGTGCCAAATTGGTGCTCGCTAACATGGCACTGCCCACGTCCTACTTCAAGTAGCAAATTTCTATGTAAGTTATCCGTTCCAATCGTTGGTTGTTTAAAAATGGAGGCACTCCCAGCTTTATCTTGAAAAAATCAAAATTTATCAAAATTTCTACGTTAATCAACAAATGCCCAGGATTCCCGGGGAACTCGTGGCAAAAAGAACTAGCCAAAAAAAAAAGGGCTCAGATCCAAAGAACACAAATTTGCAGTTTACCCCCCCCCATTGCAACTAACATGGAAGTAAACCTCCGAATTGTCACTTTAGTTAACGTGGAAGATTTTTTTTCACTACGGTAAAAGGAGGACCGAGCGCTCGCTAACATGGCACTGCCCACATCCTACTTCAAGTAGCAAATTTCTATGTAAGTTATCCGTTCCAATCGTTGGTTGTTAAAAAATGGAGGCATTCCCAGCTTTATCTGAAAAAATCAAAATTTATCAAATTTTCTACGTTAATCAACAAATGCCCAGGATTCCCGGGGAACTCGTGGCAAAAAGAACTAGCCAAAAAAAAAGGGCTCGGATCCAAAGAACACAAATTTGCAGTTTACCCCCCCCATTGCAACTAACATAACCTCCGAATTGTCACTTTAGTTAACGTGGAAGATATTTTTTTTGCACTACGGTAAAAGGAGGACCGAGCGCTCGCGAACATGGCACTGCCCACATCCTACTTCAAGTAGCAAATTTCTATGTAAGTTATCCGTTCCAATCGTTGGTTGTTAAAAAATGGAGGCATTCCCAGCTTTATCTTGAAAAATTCAAAATTTATCAAAATTTCTACGTTAATCAACAAATGCCCAGGATTCCCAGGGAACTCGTGGCAAAAAGAACTAGCCAAAAAAAAAGGGCTCAGATCCAAAGAACACAAATTTGCAGTTTACCCCCCCATTGCAACTAACATGGAAGTAAACCTCCGAATTGTCACTTTAGTTAACGTGGAAGATATTTTTTTTGCGCTACGGTAAAAGGAGGACCGAGCGCTCGCTAACATGGCACTGCCCACGTCCTACTTCAAGTAGCAAATTTCTATGTAAGTTATCCGTTCCAATCGTTGGTTGTTTAAAAATGGAGGCACTCCCAGCTTTATCTTGAAAAAATCAAAATTTATCAAAATTTCTACGTTAATCAACAAATGCCCAGGATTCCCGGGGAACTCGTGGCAAAAAGAACTAGCCAAAAAAAAAAGGGCTCAGATCCAAAGAACACAAATTTGCAGTTTACCACCCCCCATTGCAACTAACATGGAAGTAAACCTCCGAATTGTCACTTTAGTTAACGTGGAAGATATTTTTTTTGCACTACGGTAAAAGGAGGACCGAGCGCTCGCTAACATGGCACTGCCCACGTCCTACTTCAAGTAGCAAATTTCTATGTAAGTTATCCGTTCCAATCGTTGGTTGTTTAAAAATGGAGGCACTCCCAGCTTTATCTTGAAAAAATCAAAATTTATCAAAATTTCTACGTTAATCAACAAATGCCCAGGATTCCCGGGGAACTCGTGGCAAAAAGAACTAGCCAAAAAAAAAAGGGCTCAGATCCAAAGAACACAAATTTGCAGTTTACCCCCCCAATTGCAACTAACATGGAAGTAAACCTCCGAATTGTCACTTTAGTTAACGTGGAAGGTTTTTTTTTTGCACTACGGTAAAAGGAGGACCGAGCGCTCGCTAACATGGCACTGCCCACATCCTACTTCAAGTAGCAAATTTCTATGTAAGTTATCTGTTCCAATCGTTGGTTGGTAAAAAATGAAGGCATTCCCAACTTTATCTTGAAAAATTCAAAATTTCTACGTTAATCAAAAAATGCCCAGGATTCCCGGGGAACTCGTGGCAAAAAGAACTAGCCAAAAAAAAAGGGCTCAGATCCAAAGAACACAAATTTGCAGTTTACCCCCCCCCATTGCAACTAACATGGAAGTAAACCTCCGAATTGTCACTTTAGTTAACGTGGAATATTTTTTTTTGCACTCCGGTAAAAGGAGGACCGAGCGCTCGCTAACATGGCACTGCCCACATCCTACTTCAAGTAGCAAATTTCTATGTAAGTTATCCGTTCCAATCGTTGGTTGTTAAAAAATGGAGGCATTCCCAGCTTTATCTTGAAAAAATCAAAAAGTTATCAAAATTTTCTACGTTAATCACAAATGCCCAGGATTCCCGGGGAACTCGTGGCAAAAAAAACCAACCAAAAAAAAAAAGGGCTCAGATCCAAAGAACACAAATTTGCAGTTTACCCCCCCCATTGCAACTAACATGGAAGTAAACCTCCGAATTGTCACTTTAGTTAACGTGGATTTAAAAAAAAAAATGCGCTACGGTAAAAGGAGGACCGAGCGCTCGCTAACATGGCACTGTAATGGAAAATTCCCCATTTATAGTATAGATGATTTTCCCAGCTAAAAACTTCCATTCATAAGAGATTTCCAGCCATGTTTGAGGGCGCCGGAGGGTAGAGAATTCATGTTGGATGGATTGGATGGCTTACAACTCCCTGACCACGATGGGAATCGTCCAACAGAATAGGATGCAACTGGACACCCATATTACCCTCTGGTAAACGTTTACATAACTATGGAAAATCACAATGTTTAATGGGAAAATCCACTATAAATCACCAGTTTCAATAGCTATGTTAAATTACCAGAGGGTATCATCTACATCCATCTACATCCAATCTATACAATATATCCATCAAGGCCTCACTGGGACGTCTGTTTTTTGCCTCGTTTTGAGACGAGGTGCAACAGCACAAAGCGGAGGCCCTTGAGGCCAGAGCTTCACAGATGAATAGATATATTCGGTATATACGGATGTATTAATATGCATATAATATATATATATACATTATGTAATTGTATATATATATAATTATATATATATACCCGAGGGGCCTGGGGTTCTCCTATGGAGAAGCGGTGGGGTGGGGTGGGGTGGGGCATGTTAACGTCATGTTCATGTTACGTTGATGCTACGTTGATGGGAGGGGTGGGGTGGGGTGGGGCATGTTAACGTCATGTTCATGTTACGTTGATGCTACGTTGATGGGAGGGGTGGGGTGGGGTGGGGCATGTTAGCGTCATGTTCATGTTACGTTGTTGCTACGTTGATGGGAGGGGGGGGGTGGGGTGGGGCATGTTAACGTCATGTTCATGGTAAGTTGTGATGGGTGGGGGGTGGGGGGGGAATTTGTTAAAAGTTCATGTTCATGAGTACGGATGGGAGGGGTGAGTGGTGGGGCGAAGGGGAAAGGGGAACGGGAAGGTGTAAAGGGGAATCGGGGATGGGGGGGTTGGGGGGGGGGGGTGGGGAGGGGTAACGTAGTTCAGGGGTTAGTTGATGTGGGGGGGGTGAGGGGGGGGGGGGGTGGGGTGGGGTGGGGTGGGGCATGTTAACGTCATATTCATGGTACGTTGATGGGTGGGGTGGGGTGGGGCATGTGAAAGTGTTCATGGTACGGTGATGGAAGGGGTGGGGTGGGGCATGTTAAGGTCATGTTCATGGTACGTTGATGGGTGGGGTGGGGTGGGGCATGTTAACGTCATGTTCATGGTACGTGGAAACTTTGAAAAAGAACATGTTGCAGCAGGTTGAAGCAGGGTGTTGAAACAACAACGAGAAAAAAAAGGTGACTATCAACATAACCCGTTTCATGCTAACATAAAAATATATATATTGCAAATACCAATAAAAAAAACAGCCCTTCATATTACACCACGAGCGGCAGTAAAAACAGTACTTTTCCGCTTTAAAAAAACAACGACTTTCATGAAATGTGCTATTTCGTGTGGGAAAACAAGAAAATCAGAAACTTTGAAAAAGAACATGTTGCAGCAGGCTGATGAAGTTGAAGCAACAACGAGCAAAAAAAAGGCTGACTATCAACATGTGCCGTTTCATGCTAACGTTAAAATTCATTGCAAATACCAATAAAAAAAGACACCTCTTCATATTACCCCACGTGCCGCAGTAAAAAATGACAATTCCGGATTAAAAAAAACAAAGAAATTCATGAAAAGTGGTATTTCGTGTAGGAAAACATGAAAATCACAATTGACATGTACTGTGGATAACATGTCAGAACATGCAACTTGCGCGGGCCTAAAAATTTAGCTCCGTAACATTGTCGTTAAAGAAAGAGAAAGAAGAATGTGCAAAATCCACATTTCGCTTTGGCGAAACAATGATTTTTGACATGTGGATCAGTGAGAACCAAGATACTCTGCGGAAACCTAGGGCCCCGAGCGTATATATATATATACATATATACATATATACATATATACATATATACATATTTTGGATGGTCGAAGCACTATATTTTGTTGCGATCCCATGACATCCTGGTTTCAACTGGTGATTCCTCAAAGGTCGATCCATCGGTCTTGGGGCCGAGCCTGCAGCCATCAATAGTCTTGGCCGATTCTGCCAGGATTCATCACAGGTCTCGGCACCCGGCGGAAAAATCCGTGAGTTGTTTTTTGGATACCAAGATTTTTACGTAGAAAAAGGTTCGAATAACTGCAGATTATGTGTATATATATGTATACATATATATACATATATATATATATATCAATGGGTTAGTTATAGTAAAAAACTTATCCACTGATCCGGCGATTTTGTGTATGTTCACCCCATCAACGTGCGCTTTGTCCAACTAAGCCTCAGTTTTTGTCCAACTCCTTCGGCTGTTGGAGCTTGCGACAAGGGAAATTGACTCCCGGATGTTCGAGTTGCCAAAAACCATACCCTCTGGTAATTTGTTACAAAAAGCTATGGAAAATGGCCATTTATAGTGGATTTTCCCATTAAAAATGGTGATTTTCAATAGCTATGTTAGTTTACCAGAGGGTAGGTCCTACACAAGATCCCCATGACACCAATCCCCTCCGTCATTCCAAGTGACTGGGGGTTCAAAGCTAGTTTTGACTCTGCGAAACATGGGGCTGCGACACGAAGGTCCCATTGGTTTGCCATGGTGGATAAACGACTTGGTGCAGAAAATCGGAGTCAAGTCCCAAGAAAGCCATCATTCCTACAATGTTGGACTGGGTCAGAGTTGCATATCCATCTGATGGATGGGTCAGAAATGGGTGCCCAAGAGAATGAGAATTGAATAGTATTTAGTTCTTGCCTCAAATTTGGACTCGTACCCACTGGTTTCTTGATTAAATCATCGTTGTGTTGGCTGTTTCAACGCCCATTCTTGGAAAGATCAATCTTAGTTGATTAAATTCATCCTAAGATGGTATTAAATCATCCTTATAGGGATAAACTTGATTTCAACCAACATTAATATCCCTTAGTTGATCAATCTTAGGACAATGTTGGTATTAAATCATCCAAATATTGTTGTTTAATTGTCCTTACAGCATGTTGGTTGATGCTGTGAAATCTCCATAGCTGAATGGAATGTGTCTCACAGTGCAGACCGAAATAAGATGGCCTCGAAAAACTGGTTTTCAAATGTGTTTCTTACCCTCTGGTAAACGTTTACATAACTACGGGCTAAATCACCATGCTATCAATGGCTAAATCCACTATAAATCACCATTTTCAATAGCTTTTTGTTTGTTTACCAGAGGGTAACCAACCAGAACCACTTTTGGTCACCGCATGCAGCGTTGCCGGGCGTTGCCATGACATTCCTGACACACATTCTAAGAGGCATCACCAATGACATTCCTTCCAATGGATATACTTACTAACCCCCTTTCATGAGGGGAAAACCATCTTCCAACATGGAGGAAAAGCCATCCAATTTCTGATTGAAATCATGGTTCATCATGGTTCATCCAAATCCATCACAGGGGATGCAGGGCCCCCGGACTGCCCCTGCGTTGGAGCGGATGAAACGTGTTTGACCTTCGAACTCCAAGGAATACCAAGCCTTAAGGCAAGAGGAGATCGAGTGGTCACTGGTAAATCTAGATGTAAGGTTAACCAAATATGTCAATAACATCAATAAATGATTACAATTATTTATCATGATATCTCTCTATTTTTTTTCGTTGTATTTCATTGTTAGATATATATATACATAATAATAATAATAATAATAATTAATAATAATTAACAATAATTAACAATAATTATGATGATTATTGTTATTAATAATAATAATACATTACAAATGACGATGTATATATATAACAAATTAAACATGTCGATCAAGTAGTACATCCCAGCTCGATCAACCGCTTCGAACCTGGGCGCCCCAGGCGGGCGAATGCGCTTGGTTCACGTCCAAGACCTTCACGGGGCCCTGGCCATCGTCCTCCTCGGAGACAACTCCCTTGCTGTCCAGAAAGTCCGGGTTCGGCACCACCTGGGATGGGAGGAATTTTCATAAAACCTATACTATATACATGCATTGCATTGCATTGCATTGGGCGACATGACATTATAACATATATATATATATGCATATACATATATGTATATATATATATGTATATATATATATACATTATATGCATAAATAGATATGTATATATATATATGTATATGTATGCATACATGGTCCTTTGTCTCGAAATGACTGGGTGAAAGCTCCAAATCAGCTGCTGGAAACTCCCATCTTGAAAAATCCACCATGAAAATCTCGATGGCTTTTCCCATCAAAACCCTCATGAAAACTCCATGAAAACTTGGATTTATTAATCACTGGTTGGTGGTTTTAACATGTTCTAACCATCTTGAAAAATCATGGAGTGAAAGTCAATGGGAAGGATGACATCCCATATAATCCATATATGAAATGGAAAATACAATTCATGTTCCAAACCACCAACCAGTATAAATACCCTCTGGTAATTTAACATAACTATGGAAAATCACCATTTATAGTGAATTTTCCATTAAAAATTGTGATTTTCAATAGCTATGTTAAATTACCAGAGGGTAATGTTCACGTCAAAACCTCCATTTGTCGAGGATTTTCCAGCCTCGTTTGATTAAAGCTTCTTGACTTCGAGATGACGTCGTTATCAAAAAATAGAGGCCCATATGCACCAAATTCTATTACCCTCTGGTTATGTCAAAATAGCTATTGAAAATGACCATTTATAGTGGATTTTCCCATAAACAATGGTGATTTTCCATAGCTATATTAATTTACCAGAGGGTATCTTGTTTTCATGTTTTCCCCTATTAAAATGACCAACTTGGGGACCATGTTTTCAGATAGACCCAAATGTCAACTTGTCGATGAAATGCGTCCCAATAGTATCCCATTCATATCCCCATTTTAGTTGGTAGCATCCCTATTTGACACTCATGCAAACATGATATTTGAACATGTTGATAACCCATGAAAAACCCTGATGATATGCCCATGTATGGTCATTTGTTGTTCCCAATCTTGATGGTTAATCACCTTTTATCTGGCTGAATTTTACCAATTCACCAACCTGGAAATAGCCGAAATTTGCGACCATGTGGGGAGAATTTCCCATAATCCTTACCATCATTCCAGAGACATTATGATTCATCCAGATTTATGGGGGCCCAAAAAATGCCGAACCCGAGCCCCCTGGGAACCCCAAGCAGCTCGACCCATCAGCTCATATGAATCGCCTGGGACATATGAATCTCCTTCGTCCCAGTCCAGCCTAGCACGTTTGCTGGTTTACAACTGGGGAAAAAAATGCTAATTTATGATGCTTGCCCTCTGGTAAATTAACATAGACCCTGAAAATAACCAATTTCTAGTGGGAATTCATCCTTTATATGATGATTAAAACGTGGAGATACTATAATCATCATAAATCAAACAAAAAATATTATGTCCCAATTATCAGATTATTTCTTGCTTATAACTGGGAAAAAAAGTGAAATGATGATGATTCAAAGATTCTACCGTATACCATATTATGACTATAGGTATATAGATGGGCAATAAACCAACACGCATAACTACTTGGCAGTTCACACCAGGAATTGTAAATGGGCTATAAACCCAATATCAACTGGACTGATCCTACTTGCCCTACTCATCACTGGCCAATTAAATCTACCCAGAACTTGAACTTGGATTTGCTGATTGGGGGGATTTAATAAAGAGTAGAAACAAAAATCCCAGTAAATTGCCCCAAAATCGTGGATGATTTCCAATGGGTAACTGACAGTCATCATCTTCAGCAATTCCAGGATTTTTGGAGACTCAAAAAAATCTGCATTGGGTTTTTCAAATGGCTATGAGTCAAAACCCTGGTACCTTTTGTTCACCCCAAAATAGCTGGTAAATGGATGTTCATCCCATTAAAAATGGTATTAATAGGTATTGATCCATAGCCAAATGGTATACCCTCTGGTAAACTAACAGTGTGCGAACTGGAAAATCACCACTTTTAATAGGTAAACCATCTATTTCTATGGGCCATGTTCCATAGCTATGTTATTTTACCAGAGGGTCAATACAAATTTTTAGTAGGACCCCCATCACTCCCAAAAAACGCACAAAATCAGAATGCAGGCGGTCTGAGAGAAAGAATGGAGATGAATGGAGGGTTATTGACCGGGATAAAGCCTGAAGACAGAGGTTCAACCTCCAAGACTGAAAGTACCTTTGACTCCTCCACTGTGGAGCTGGTTGTGTGGCCCTGAGAAATTCTGGGGGTTCAAGGATTCCAACCAAAGAATTGTGGATTGGTTCTGGGTTGTTCACGAATCCCATCCGTGGCTACTGCCGAATGTAGCAGAAGCCACAACTTGCCGACATATTTTGGCAACTGCTCAGATGTTGATATGTTTGCTATGTTCGGTAGGGCAAACGTCATCAGGCTTTTTATGAGTCTTACTGCATGTTAAACCATCGTTTTCATCATTTTTACCATGATCATCATCGTCGTCGTCGTCATCATCAACAGACTCATCAAACGTCATCAACAGCAACCCTCCGAGGGCCCCCAGCACTCGCACCACGATGGGAGGCAGGTCTAGCCTCAATGGAGAGATCATCCACCGGGTCATCCCACGGTCAGACGGGCACCGTGGGCACCGACCATCCAAAAAAATACAAGGTAATACAAGTATTGTATATTATTATATATATATTATAATATAGTATATTATATATGGTATTATAGATAGTATTATATATAGTATTATATATATATAGTATTGAATATTAAATCAGTGTTAATATATAGTATGATGTATAGATTAATCATGATTAATCAATGTCCGGACGATCAAGCAGTTACCAAAGCTTCGATCATGGCACACTTTTCAGTAGCCATCGAAGTATATATATATATATATATATCAAGAGTAACTAGTTAAGTTACAGCCACACCCACTTAGATTTCTCGAAGCCTTGACAGTTGATGGTTGTGCAGTGGGCTAGTCCGAACAGACGCCCGAGCTGTATAAGTTTACACAGGTCCTGCAATGCTTCTCAAATTCTTCTAACATCCTCAAAAAGGTATCCTGTTCACTCTCTTTCGACCATTTCAATTGGTGGTACCTCCAGATTGTATCGGTAGTGTACCAGTTTGGAACCACGCCACCGTTCACTACTATACAAGAAGCCTTCATTGTTGGCGATTTTGAGCCACTATGAGTTGAGAACATCATGTTCGGTCTGAAACTGGGCCCAAAATCCATGGCTTATAAATAAATATATATATATATACTGTATGTATGTATATATATATATATGTATTTTTTTCAGACACCCAAAAAATTGGGGCTAGGGATCCTACCAGTGAAACAAGCATTTTGAGACTTCTCCTTGTACAACTGGCACGAACTGGCTGCAGCAAGTTTAAGCCAGCGGGGGGAAAATCGCGCCAGTAGTCGTGCACGTTTTGCAAAGACTGCATTTTCCTGTGTTGGGGTTCTGGGTGGGGTGGGGGTGTATTAGCGTTCATCTCAACTTGCCGCACACACGCACGCGCTACGTCACGGAAGGGTTTGGGGTGGGGTTGGGATGTGTTAACGTTGGAGATCACTGGTCGCTCTTTGCAACGCATGGACATCTGAGAGGTGGAAAACACAGCGCGAATTTTGCAAAGCAGATTCCCTGTAAATTGCACTAGTTGATCACAAAATCCATGAAAAATCCCGGGGAAATTCACACCCTTCTTGAACAGATCGATAGTTTCGCTACAACGAAAACGACATGTGTGTTTAGAAACGTTCACAACCGCTGTTCGCGCGGTCATCCCCCCGGGGCAGTCCTTGGGTTCCCCGGCAAATCCTTGGGTTCCAGTGTGAGCCCGCCTTCCTTAAGGCCGTCCTTGTCGAATTTCACCTGCCCCAGTGAAAGGTGTTACTCCAAAGCAACCCCCATGTTTGGTGATGGAGAAATGGCCATCATTGCCATCTTCCAACAGACACTGGAGAAATTCTTGATGGGCCCCAAATATATATATAATATAATATAATATAATATAATATAATATAATATATATATATATATGTTTTCCCCGCAAGATATGAAGCATGAATTTATGTCGTGATGTCGTGACTGAGGTCTCAAAAATGAACTGCCAAAGCCTGTGGTGAAGGTCCAACTTTGGTTGGTTCCCCCATCTCTAGATTCACTGATTTGATGAATCCCCCATGAAAAGAGCGAAGGGTAAAAAAAAAACAATAGATCAATCCCCCGAAAAGGCCGAAAAGTAAAACATCAAACATCAAGAGCTCTTTGAATTTGAGCGCACTTTAACCTGGTTGGTGGTTTCAACCCTCTGAAAAATATGAAAGTCACTTTGGATTATTTTTCCCAATATATGGAAAAATAAAATTCATGTTCCAAACCACCAACCAGTAACTATCTTGGGGATCGCCGATGATCGCTGTTTCATGCTGACTCCTCAAATCATAGGATGGATAGCCGGTAGCCTTCAGTACATGCAATGAGAAAATTCGGGAATCTCCCCATGACCCAAAGCGATTCTTGTTCTCTCAAACTCTGCTGATGAAATCCAATGAAAAATCCCCAGCAGCTGATTTTTTTCCCATTCAAATCCCATTCTCTTTGTAATGCTTCAATCAAAACACAAAAAATCCCCCCATCTTTGGGCTACTAAATCCCCATATTTTTCAAGTCGCGCCCGTTGAATCCTACCGAAATCCACCGATTCTGAGCGCCGCCTGAGGCTTCACTTCCACCCACAAGGGTCCGATGACGAGGCGGTGCAGAAAGCTGGGATTCAATGATCCTCCGTGGCCGAAGGCTTGGAGAATCTATGGATGTAACCGGTAGAATATTTATACAGGCTGTAGGCTCCATTATGTGTATACATATATATATGTGTGTGTGCGTTGTTCATTTCCAAAATTTTTGCGGGGGTTTTGTGAATAAAAGATCAAAAAGGAGATCAATCTGAGATCAGTTGAAATCATGATTTAGATCAGAGTCCTAGTACGATAGGATTTTACTTTGCAGGAAAAGACTAGATTGACTAGATTATATATATATATATGTATTCCCAACTACGACAAAAACCGTCAGAATTTTGTTCGCATCCATGTCTGAACAGGAAACTGAAGTGACCAAGCCAAATTGGCAGCTACTTGTCATATCTCTAGTACCTGCAGGCTACATACATGCTTGGGGATGCGTCTACCAAACCCCCATCAGGTGGGATTTACCCTCTATACTATGGCTATATCTCCACTTCTAACTGGAACTGCACTTCCAAGTATCGTGATCATGATAGGTTCTGGAGACCCACACATTTTGGTCCTTCGCAGTACTTTGTTTCACGCAGTTTGGGGATCAAGATTTTCGAGGCAATGCAAGGGAGCCAAGCCCAAAACATATGATTTCACTGCATCAAAATGGTGAAAAAGAAACTAAAACCACCCAGGGGTCAACATTGATCTAAGGTCAACATTACCCATGTGATTATGGGTCCTTGCCCGCCTAAAACTTTTCACCTCGAAAAATCGTCTTCCGGAGCCGTAATTTCTGTTACCAGGTCCATCGAATTCTGGACTTCTTAGGGCCTTCTTAGAGCTTCTAGACAGAAAAGTATTGTATCACGATTGTAGAAACGGATTTGACTGTCCTTTCTTTTAGGAGGTTGCTATTTTATATACCCATATATATATATACCGTGAAGCCATGTTTGATTCCAGGCGCAGCTCTTCACTGCCGAGCGTCGGATCCTTTCTGCATCAAAGAGCCCGCCTTCTTCGCCCACCTCAAGGCCAACTGGGTTAAGAACGGAGTTTCCCAAGACACAAAGCGCACAAGCCCATAGAATCATCAACCATTTTCTTAAACACTGCTCATATATACTGGTTGGTGGTTTCAACCCCTCTGACAAATATTAGTCAAATGGGATTATTGTTCCCAATAGATGGAAAAATATAAAATGTTCCAAACCACCAACCAGTATAACTGGGGGTATTCCACATACAACTGATATCATATGGTTATTACCTAAGGGCAGGGATTCTGCAGGGATGGAGGCAGTACCTTCTGGTAATGACTAACAGTTTGCTATGGAAAATCACCATGTTTAAGAGGTAAGTCATCTGTAAATGGGCCATGTTCCATGGCGATCTTGAATTACCGGAGGGCAAGTAGTGTATAATCCGTGCATAACTTAATAACTGGGGACGTTCTACGTATAACTGGGGTACAATATGGTTACTACCCACTTACAAACTGGAACACACCTCCAGGTAAGCAGTCATCAACATGTCCCATAGAGTTTGAGTCCCCATGTTGAAAAAACGTCCCCATGTCCATTGATGAAAATTCATGAGCATCATAATCAGAAAAAACAGCCCAGGGCCCTGGGTCTTGCCCTTTTTTGTTGGTTGGTTGATATGGATCGCCAAGACATTTGAAAACATTCTATTTTCACTTACAGGCTGCCAGTTGGTCAAAACATATGCCTGCATAACTGGTTGGTGGTTTCAACCCCTCTGAAAAATATGAAAGTCACTTTGGATTATTATTCCCAATATATGGAAAATAAAATTCATGTTCCAAACCACCAACCAGATAAGCTTGATAATCTCTTCAATGCACTGGATGAATCCCTGGACTGTTGATAATTGGGGGGTACCACTTTTAGTAGCCATGCTCACTATGAAAACGGAAAACCCCTAGTTAATCCCTTCTTCCCAAGAAAATCCCGAAAAACGCCATGGTTTAGTGCGGGATTTGGACATCTTTTAGCTATTCCAGGCTTCGGTCAGGCTTCGGTCGTGCTCAAAGTGATCCAGATAAATCCACCAACAATGACCACATCCATGAATTCACATCCACTAACACCCATTAACATGCCATTAACACCATTAACTATGGATAATGATAAGTAACGATATCATTCCCATGAAGCCCCTTGAATTGGTTGACATTCAAACCCTTATTACACTCTGGTGTCATCAGACATGGCTAGAGAAATACACCAAAAAACTTGCGTTTAAATGGGAATAATCTAGAAATTTGGGACATTTCCAGCAAACCATATTTGATTGCCGGATGGTAAACCAATGATTTTACAGTGACTTGAAACTGACCACTAACTATCGCCCCAAAGGGTTCCAGCAAACCATCCGGTTTTTCTTCTCAAATTTTGCATCCCACAAACAAATCCCATCTTTTGTAATATCGCCTTATAACATGTCGTATTGTATTTATACTCCCATGTCCAAATGTTTTTCCGCATTCCCATTCCCATTCCGCGATCAAAACCCTCAGCACCATCCCTTTCTCGCTGATGGGATGGCCGAAACGGATGATGATCCCCAATGTACGAGGTTGTACACTCTCCTATGATCATCAACCATCAACCAAACATCATTCATCAACTATATCCAGTATACACACTATTCCCATATGATATGATGTTGATGGTTCAAGTTATAAAATGCGATGGTTTCAATTCCAAGAAAAATCCAATCAACATCCCATGAACAATTTGCGCAGTTGAACCCTGTTCCTGCGCATCCCATGCCGAAGTTTTTCGGATTGACCATCGGCCGACGGAAACGAATTTTTCACCATGGCACATCCGTATCTGATGTTGGTGATATTCCAATATGCCTTTATATTCCCATGGTGGTTGGTGAAATCACCCACGAAAAATCCATGATTGGTTGGATAAACTGCTATTTTTGACTTAAATACCCTCTGGTAATTTAACATAGCTAGCTTGAAAATGGCCCGTTTAGTTCGCTGATTTACCTGTTAAATGACTTTCTTCGCGTGATCCCCACCCTGAAACACTAGTCACTATTCTGACATAGTTTCTGACATACCATCTGGAAGTATTAACGGCATATTTTCTTCTGGCATTCTATCTTACTTTCTTTCTGGCATATACGATGACATTCTATCTCACATTCTATCTGACATTCTATCTGACATTCTATCTTGCATCTATTCTGACATGCTTTCTGGCATATATTCTGACATTTTTTAGCGTCTATTCTCACATTCTATCTGGCATCTTTTCAGGCATTCATTCTGGCATTCTTTTATTCTGACATCCTCTCTGACCTGCTTTCTGGCATTCTATCTGACATTCTCTCTGGCGTCTGGCTGAGGGCAACTAGAGACCCTCACCTCAGGTGGGGAAAATGGTGACTTTCCAGTTCGCAAACTGCTAGTCATTACCAATTACCAAAGGACCTTTGGTATATCCAATTGTATTCTCATTATATTGCCCATTGTGTCCTCATTGTATTCCCAATCGGATATCCCAGTATTCGTTTTTCAGTTGGATACTTATATAGTTGACTATATCCAGTACTCAGTTGGATATCCCGATCATTCAGTGGATAAACATTGCGTTCAATTTTATGACCATTGTACTGGCTGACGTTCTGGATAGATCCCATTATAAAACCCATTGATTAAATAACCATTGTGGATAACCATTGATTTATCCATTAACCTCTGGCTGTTCAACGTAACGAACTGGAAAACCATTTCCAATAGGTAAATCATCATGATTATCATTTATTGCTATGGGCCATATTCCATAACTATGTTTAAAAATACCCCAAGGGTTAAACGGGTTTGTCTGAAGATACACTACCTCTAAATCCATGTGTTCCCTATTAAATTGTTTTTTGGGGGGACATACCCCATGTTCAGACCCAATTCCCCCACCTCGATCTCGTAGCAAACATCTCCCAAGCCGTCCTCGGGACAGAGAAGGTCGAAAGGTGATGGTTGTGACCATGGATCATGGTTTGAAATATCGTGCGCATCTATTACCATAAGAAACTGAAAAAACACTGCGTAATTTATCAAAACCGTGGTATATCCAATGGGATGTGGTGTGTCTGGGGGATATTCTGGGGATTATCACGGTAGAACGGTTACCATTATTGATGGATATTGTGGGAATTAATCATCAAATGAGGATATGAATGGATATTACCCTCTGGTAAATTAACAGTTGGACCCTGAAAATCACCATTTTTTAGAGGAAACTAATCTTCCAACCCCTATCTACCAGGGTCTATGTTAATTTACTGGAGGGTAATAAATATTGAGAATATGTGCTACAAGAATAAACCATCCCGGGAACCAACCCGGCCTGGTGGTTATTTTGCATCATCCCAAATATGGGTACACCCAGTAAACCACAATTGGTGGTTGTTTTAGGTTTGAAATGGGTATGCGTTTCATGGTTATATCTATCTATCTATCTATCTATCTATCGATCTATCTATCTATCGATCTATCTATCTACCTACCTATCTATTTATCTATTTGTTTCTTTATGAAAGCGAATACTATGTCGTGGCAAAACATATTGATATATACATTGTACTATCGGGATATCATGACATGAAAAAACCAACATGTTTATAGATAAATGAGTTAGTTTCACGAACCATTTTCCATAGCCAGGTTAGATTGCCAAAGTGTCCTGAAAATCCAGCAGATTTGGGCGGCAATGCCTTTTTCCAGTCACAATGTTGTACCATCTCACCATCCATTTTGTTTCGCCTTTTTGAGAATTTAAAAAGGAAATCGAACATTCAAAGAAATCGAAAAACATGTTGACCATCCAATATTATTATACCAGGTTCAATGTTTGACTTGCAAACAATTTGACCATCCAATTTTGGTTGCAAAAAGTGAGCCCCAGCGAGATTTCCTCAGTGGATCTCATCCCCGGGGATTTGAGATCGAAAACCCACCAAAAAGTAGGGATGTTTTTTGGCCCCTCAACTAACAATGTCCTTTTGGGAAAAATAGAGGGTCCTGGCTGGTATACATCTCATTTTCATTGACGTGTTGGCTGGTTTTCATGGGGGGACCCCTCTATGAATCAACCAACGAGAATTTGAGACATCTGCGCTTCCAACGCCAACAAATACGCAAGTCCAAAGGTGATCCAAAAGGCAAAATAAAACATTGGGACAATGGGACATGTGGAAATGAAAATCCTGGCCCATGATGGCATGATGATTGTGTTTCAGAGACGCTCATCTTCTAAGCCGGCCTACATCTGGATGCACTTGGTGATATACCTTTACGCGGGTCACAAATAAACAAAATGTTTTCAAATGAGTTTGAACCCAAACCTATCATGCAAATTCCAAAATGCTGAAGAGGAAAATCCTCTTTCATATTCCTGTCTTTTCGGAAGTCATGCTGGATTTCAGGCGCAAATTGGTTTGCATCCCAAGAGTGCGTGGGCTGCGACTCTCCGAGGAAAAAATGTGGCGACGCGGGGACCAAAGAATCGGGGTACCGACCCAGAAGCGTCTGGTCATTTGTAGGAAGAGTCTTGTCAATTTTCTCCCCAGTTAGTTGTTAGCACTGCGAAATGCGAGAGCTGAAAATTGAAGCGAAGCTCCCATCATCGACACAAACTCGATGAATTTTCTCCCTCCATAAAGGAGCCACTGGGCCACTAGGGGTAAAGTATTTTGAACCATGTCCAAAATGATGCAAACAGGAGCTGAAATGAGTGTGGATGAAAATGCTGTACCCCTGACAAGCCTGGTGAACATGTTCAGGCGAGTTGCCGTAAGGCGTCCTGCAACCGCTGAGCTAGCTAATTTGGGAGATATGCTGTCTGCTTCGCAGCGCCTTTTTCTGCGCAGCTGCAGAAGGGCAGGCCCGGCAAATTGGTTTCTTGCGCAAGAAACAATGACCAAAACCAATGTTTATTTCATGGGTTGCCTATTTGTGCCATGGTTCACACTGTCGGAAAGATTTGGCCACCGCGGCACATACTGAGCCTTCAGCGTAGTTACTGCATTGAACGCATCTTCTTATAGAAAGAGTCCCTAAGGTAAGCCAATCCGGCCAAGGAAAGCGCCCTAGTGATACGGAGTATTCCTTTTCTTTTCACGTTGAGAATGGTGATGTCTCAGTGCACCAACCCTGATTCCACCCCCGATCCCGCCCCTTCCCCGCGTCCGGATCCGCAGTTGGTAGACATCTGGCCGCGAGCATGTCGATATGACACCACATCTGGGCCAGGTGGAAAGGGGCAGCATCCCAACGGATGTGAAATGTCCCACGCAATCACCTGGACATCCCCAGTCTGCGCGACCTTTACATCCCAAACAAGAACAAAAACACCATGGTTTTAAAGGCAGTCAGTCAGGATTCTCATCGTTGTAGCTGAGGATCTTGATGATTGCATACAAGTAGTAGTTTCTTTCTCGGGGGTTATAAGAAGGGGCCTACACCATGGTCGTGTTTTGGTCACATTTATATATAATATACATTGGTGGTTTCAATGCCCCTGAAACGCCATCATCTTTGGGAGCATCAACTCGAATAGTAAAAACACATATGCGTTGAAAGTACAAATCACTCTGGTTTGTTCTAATCACCCCGCCCAACATAGACCGTTGAAAACTGCCGATTCAACAAAAAAAAGCCTCCCAAACCCCAAATCATAGCAGGCTCTTGCTGTTCGTTGCTTCAGTTCGAGCATCATTTTCGATAGGATATTCAAAAATCCTGCTTTTTTGGAAATATACTATGGTATAGCCTGTTTTGAAACAAACCCAAAGTTTGTGCAGATCGCTCTTAAATTCATTGCTGAATGGTGTCCTCGAGGGATCTAGCCATTTCAACAGCCTTGCATCTTTATCGCAGGTAAGTGCTACCGACCGTCGTTCGAATCCATTCATAAATGCTATTCGCTTAGTGGACCTACAAACCGTTTCACTGGTTCATTCTTTGCAATGTCAACCCAGATTGATCGAGCTGGTTGACGCAGCGGCACCCAGGGCGGCTACGGCTATGGCTTTTGTCCAGTAAATGAACAACCAGTTCTGGTACAGATGGCCCATTTATCGATGAATTACCTATCAAAAATGGTGATTCTACACATCTATCTTAGTTTGCCCCATTACCTCTGGTAAACATACAAAAAGCTATTGAAAATTGCCCAGTTATAGTTGATTTACCTATTAAAAATTGTGCTTTTCCATAATGATGTGGCTGTTGACCAGGCCGGGTATATCCACCAACATATCCCCATAGCATTTTTCATTGCGCCTGGACACGGTGCTGTGGACCTCAAAACGGATGGCGGTTCCAAAGATGTTTTCATATCAGCCATGACAACTCCTCGGAAAAATATGAAAGTCAGTTGGGATTATGATTTCCAATATATGGAAAGTCATAAAATTCATGTTCCAAACCACCAACCAGCGAATATCTTGTTAATTTCATCTAATTCTACAAGTTATAGGTTCAGATTACTGGCTTATGGGTTTTGACAATCCAAATACAGTAATGGGCTGGTTCCTGTGACTGTCCAGCAAAGCGTTTCCTCAATATTCGGAGCTTAGTCCATTCTTGGGATGACCCCAAACCATTATCAACTCGAAAAATCGATAGGATTATGATATAACATAAACATACATATTATATATACATATTATATATATTATATAATATAATATAATATATATATATATTATATATGATATTATATATATACACATAATATATGTATATATATACATAATATATGTATATACATAAACTAGGAAAAAAAAAACACCAATCCTGACAAGTTCAGCCATTTAGAGATGGTTGCCTGATCCAATTCCCATCACGTGGTAACCTCGTGGATGCACCACTCCAACGTCCAACCTCCCATGAGTTCCAGCCAGTGACAGGACTGAACGTCATAGCCGGAGTCTCCCACTTGCATCACCCTTTCTGCCTGCGAGGTACAAAATACAGGCAAGCATTCTGAGCGTTCTGATGCCTGTGGATGAATTTGGGTAAAACATGGTAAAACAATGCCAAATTCCCATCCCTAATTTCGACCATAGATAGGTGCCATGTGGTGGTATAGACGGTATAGACCATTCCCAAATGGGGGGTTGTTATTGTTTTAGCGACATTAATGATATTAATGCTCGCCCAACCACACACGTCGGTCGCTCTTGGTAGTGAGTCATTTGATCTCAGCGTCACGGCGTTGCGCACGGTAACCGTACTAAATTGACGACGCGTTTGTTGACTATGGTCGTCCCTGCGGTCACCAATCCTTTATCTGGTTGGGTTTGTCTGAAAGGGTGCCTCAAAATGCACCGGTCATCATGTTTGCCGCTAAAATCACCATTGAAAAGTGTCCCCTACAAATATATATATATATATATACATATATATATATACATATATATACATATAAATATATATATACATACATATATATATATACATATGAATATATATATATATACATATATATATACATATAAATATATATATATACATAAATATATATATATACATAAATATATATATACATACATACTTGTGTGTATGTGTATATATATATGTAGAGAGAGAGAGAGAGAGATTGTGAAATCCCTCATTTTCAGGTTCCCAAAATGGCTAGGTCAACAATTCCCCAGGTGACTCACCCCCCCGTCCGCTGCTCCCCTCAGCGCGCCATGCAGGGCTGGCACAGGACCGAGCCAGGTTTGATCCTGGCCGCGTAATCCCATCAAAAATGGTGGTTTCATGGGATTTTCATTGGGATTCAATGGGGTTTAATGGGATTTAAAGGGATTTAATCGCGTTTAATGGGGTTTAATGGGATCTAATAGGATATAATGGGATTGCTTGGTGGTTCACCTACAACTGCGGTGATTTAACTTACTTAGTGGGATGAACCGCCAAGTAGTGGATTATGTTGGGGTAAACTAACATAGATGTGGAAGACCCACGGATTAATAATGGCTCATGATGTTTATGATGGATTAACAGTGGATTAATGATGGTTAATAATTGATAAAAAGGTTTAATTTAATATGGATGAACTTAAATATCAGAATTAGGGGATGGTTGATGATTGATTAGTCCTTTCCCCCAACATCAAACACCCACTAAATGGGTTTCTGGATGTTTGATATTAGGGCAGGGGGAAGGGATTAACAGTGGTGGCGCTAGTTTATTGATCTCGGGGTAAACTAACATAGATGTGGAAAACACATATAGTTCCCCAACGACAGTGGCTTACAAGTTTACAACTTGTGGGTTGTCCACGTCATTCCACGTCTATGTTAGTTTACAGGAGATTTCTAACAAAATGCAACATCGCACCAGACCGCACCATCGTGCCATTGCACACTGCACCACTGACCGTCCCTTGACGTGGAGCATTTTTCAGAGAGCTGCATGGCTCTTGAGTTTGGATAACAACCGCCAGGCTTTTCGTTTCACAGCAGAGTGGTCAATGAAACAATGAAACAGCAGCTCCTTCCAGGACAAGACGATCCCCGTGCTCCCCCAGTATCCAAACACTGCAGGGACCCAAGGATCAACAAAAATGATACGCTCCTAGGGGCTGACCCTAACGCCCGACCACAGGGTCCTTTTGATCACCTCTTGTGGTAAATCTGGGAGTGATGGGCAATGATGGTAAATGATGGTGAATGATGGTGAATGATGGTTACCCTCTGGTAATCAGACGTGGCAATGGAAAATCCCCTATACATACTATACATGGAGGTTTATCTACAAATGGAGGAGTTTCAATTGCCACGTGTGATTACCGCGGGTAAGCAAATCTTGGAACTACTTTCAGGTCGCCGCAAAAGTTCTTCGAACAGCCGATAAACACAGCACTGGCCCCGCTGAGCCCCACACATGACTGGCTGCACCACGACTCGTTCAACGCTCTTCACCATCTGTGCGACTTCCCGTTGTGTCTCCTGAAATGGCCAGAGATGAACACAAATAATTTTAATTACTTGGATTTGCTGATATAAGTTATATTAGGAACCCCCCACATAAGAAAAAAAACATATTCCCCAAAACAGATTCCGCAATCGTAGTGGATTGCCCAGTGGGAGAATCAGCCAAATCGTACATTGTCCTAGGCGAAGGATTTTACATCCCACTCAAGCTACTCTGCTGAAAAAACTTCCTTAGTTGGCGAATTAATGTTGGATTGACCCAAAACTACACAAAATTAAACCATCCCCAAGATTACCCTTTTTTTTGCTAGCGTACAAACCATCCCCAATTTTTAGGTTTCCATTGGATTTACCACATTATATAACCCCCTCAAGAACAAGATCCATCCCAGCGGCGGAATGGACCTCAGCCTTCTCATGCAGCTTCATTTTGATCTCGCTCAAGGCACCATGCGGCGCGTCTGTTTCAGTCACCTCGTTCTTATCCTTGCCAGCAGTTTGCACCAAAAAAGTGGACACAGCAAATTGGAGATATGATAGAACTAACATATAACTGACATCATAAAAGATTGAAATATTTCGACATCACTCGACATAGCTAGATATGAATCTAGAGTTCTCATGCCCAAGATTCACTGTCCCGAAACTTTTAGGCTTCGCCTTGGGAGACGACGTGGGATATTGGCACCCTCCACTGGGGACCAGGTTTCGCCACTGTCCCCTGGATGAAGGTGGTCTTGCCATCCTTATTTTTTGCCCAGTGTTTGGTGGATTTCCGAAAAACTGGTTGGTGGGTTCAACCTAATGATAAAATATGGTTAATATTAATGGTTATTATATGGTTAATGATGGTTAATAATAATCTGGTTGGTGGTTGAGCCACCTACCCCTCTGAAAAATGATGGAGTGAAAGTCAGTTGGGATGATGAAATTCCCAATATATGGATTGACATAAAATTCCATGGTTCCAAAGCACCAACCAGATCACCATCATATTCCCATTGTTGTTGGTTTATAGCCTATTAACCACTATTATGGATCCAAATCACCAACCAGTATATCTATATTACTTCGATAAAAAAAGATCCATCCTTGCTGGAAGATTTTGCAACTTGGGGGGGATTCTCAAGCTAGCCATGTTTGACTACATGAGGCTACTTCCACGAAAACAAACATGGAATCCGGAAAAAATCAGGGGTTCTGTGGTGGATTTTTGGCGGCTAAGTTGGTTCTAGGGTGAAGATTTGAGAAGAATGCATGCCAACATCTAGAAATCTGAAATTGGCAAAACCCTATCTGGTATCAGCTTACAATCTTTCCCAAAAGAAGATTCATGAGGAAGAAGTCACCACTCTTGTTTTTTCAACCTTATATAAATGAACCACTTATTTGCATCTTAACTTGAGGGTTGCCAAAAAAATTAGTCGCGCTTCAAAAAACTCCCATTCCTCTGCGACCCATCCCGTCCTCATTGCTCTCATAGTGCGGGCACACCACCGTGGCTGAGCCCAAGATGTAGCCTGACGACGGCACATGAAGTTTCGACCATCGACAAAGGCAATGATCTCAAATGTCAAAGGTGTCAAGGCCCTCAACAAACTTGCACTTTGAGCTGGATCAGCTTGGTTCAATCTCTGGTCTCAAATCTGGATATTAGGTCGCGCATGCCAAGTCGACCCTCCATTTTTTGCACGGATATTTGGGTATGGGTCAATACCTATAGATACATTTTTAGTGGGATGAACATCCATTTACCAGCTATTTTGGGGTTCACTAGGTACCAGGGTTTTGACCCATCCCCATTTGGGGTGCAACCATCTGCTACTGCGAATCAAAAATGGAGAATTCACCATCCGAAATCGCTGATTGACCTCCTGAAACTGGAATTCACCATGCGCGGTTCAGCGCCTACCAAATCGTCTTTGAATAGGCGATCTGTTTCAGGCCTCGGCTTGAAATCTGTACCAGAAAAACCGAAAGATGGTGCCTTTGAAACCATGCTGTTTGCCCTCAAGAATTGGGTTTTTGTATGTTTTTGTTGATTTGGGTATCGGCTGAACTCTTCCAAACCCATTGGATCTTCTCTGTGGACTAGGGGTCTGAAAAACAGCTGAAATTGGACAGTTACTGGGCAACCCAATGCCATAAACAAGGCAACCGGTTGACTCGGCGCCCTTGTAAGGGTGACGAATTTGAAATTGTCATTTTTGAGGGTAAGAGAGAAAATGCTGGTATTTGCAGGAGTCGTCAAAAAATGTGTACAACATGGACATTCATTTCGATTGGCAGGCGTGTGACTCAAGGGTGAAAATTTGAATTTCGCCTGCGCGGTGACTCGATTTTTCTCTTCAAGGGTGAAAAAAAAAACATTAGAATTTTATGATTTTAAGTCATCCAAATCACATCAATCAAGGCGGTATTCAATCCTCTTTTTTTTCCACTGTTCGAGGTTAGCGGTGCCAGAGTGCTTGTGGCAGTGCTGATGCTACAGTCTGTAACAAGGCAGCGTTGTGACGCCAAGTCCAGCTGTAAGCATAACTGTACCGTTTTTGGTACACCTGTTGTTTCTTTTGTGGAGCATGGATTGAGGTCGCCATTTTTTTAAGTGTTTCCAAGTTCCATCAAGTTGTTGAGTTCCAGCAATAATGGTTCTAGAGGAAATCCAACCACGACCAACATAGGTTCACGCAGGAAATCCGCAAAAAGCGCGTCAGACAATGCAAGATGTCAGCAACGGCAACCTCTTCTGTAACGTAAAGGAAGTGCTCGATACGAACGTTAACATCCCCCCCCACCCCCCCTGACGATCATACGACAACAAATGCAACATGTGCCTCTTCCGTACCGTGAGGGAAGCGCTCGACACGAACGTTAACATCCCCCCCCACCCCCCCTGACGATCATACGACAACATATGCAACCTGTGCCTCTTCCATGTGCAACACGTTAAAAAATCGAAAATTTCAAATCCTATACCCCCATTTCGGAAAACCTCATTTTTGCAACCCTTCCACGGGATCGTAAATGGCACATCTCAAAATCGACAACCCTTCCAAGGGCGCCGTATCAGCCGCATGCCATAAACAACTTCCATGACTGGGGATGGTTTACACTCTATATATATATATATATATACGTCACCCATCTTTAAATGTTGATGACTTGGAGATGGTTTATGACATTGCTTTACCACATTACATAATCATTTGGATATATTATACTAACTATACTTATATATATCTACCAAATCATGGAATTCATCACGTGCCTACATGATTAGAATATTAATGTTGGGAAAGCATATTCTCCCAAAATCATCAAGCGTCATTTATAGACTATACTGCATCCCCCATGTGTTTGATGTTAAAATCCGGTGCTTAGATCCCCATAATCATCAACCAGGTTTTTTCTTGCCCTTTATGATGTCATCGTTAGTTCATGTTCGTTCTATGTTTAGTACCCTCTGGTGAACTAACATAGCAATTGAAAATGGCCATTTATAGTGGATTTTCCCATTAAAAATGGTGATTTTCCATTGCTATGTTAGTTCACCAGAGTGTATTAACCACCTACTTCTTGGGCTGGTACCATGGTTTCGCCATTCAGATAATGGTTGAGCCATACGACATCCGCCGGTCTCTGTGTCTCCCAACAGTTTCACCACGGATTGGTCCCAGGTGACCCGCATCCACTTGGCTTCACGTTCCTCGTCCCTTAGGGGGCGCTGGAATCCACCACTGGGGTGGTTTATGGTGAGTAATGCCACCATAAACCAGTGTAATCCCCATATGTTTCATACAGCTTTCCGAAATAGGCCGACCATGGTTGGATGGTTAATGATGGTTAATGATGGTTAATGATGGTTAATGTTAATAATACAGTATCTGGTTGGATGTTTTAATACCATGTTTTCACGAATCCAAAGTTGCGATTTGGATTTCAGAAGGGGATCGAGATTCGTGCAGGAAGGGATCCAAGGCATGGTTGTTGCTCAGCTATCTCCAGCACATAGGCAGTAGCTTGGTGCGTAACGGCATAGCGTAGTAGGTGGCAAGCCATAGGCAGGCCAGCAAACAACATCTGAAATTCGATCCATGCCAATATAATTTAACGACATATGTATATATATACATACACATATACATATATATAGAGAGAGAGATATGCTTTTGTGTGTGTGTGTTACATATACAAACGTATACACGCTACATTATTGGATTTGGGGTATCCTATTCCTAGACTAACCCATATCTACCATAGGTGAAATAAATAAAGCAACAGAAAACCATCTTAGCACGGGCGCATCTTGTTGGAACACGGGACGCTGATGATATTCCTTATCAATTGGTTAAAAAGACCATATACATTACGTATGTACACACACATGATATGGGTAGATTGTAATGTGTATAAAATGTGTGTGTGTGTCCATGTGTGCGTGTGTCTATATACTATATGTGTTACATGTGTAATGGGTGTATATGTGCATATGTCTATATGTATATAGATGTATAGATGTAGATGTGTGGATGTGTGTATAGATTATGATGCGTTCATATGTGTATAGATGTAGATGTGTACACAATATGTGTATAATATATATATACCCGCAAAACCTCTGTCTCGCCGTCGCTTCAAATGTCAAAGTCATGTAGGAAATTTCTTGCTTGTGTAGGGGAAAGCACACTTTTTGTATGTTGAAGGGAAAAACATGTTTTCCTTGTTGCCACCGATGAATCGTGCAACGTTGATTTTGTGTGGCAGACGCGCGGTTTTACAATTCTGTTACAAAAATAAATTTCATTTTTGTGAGCAGGCGCAGGATTTCAATTGGTGGCTTTTTTGGGGTTAATTATAACGTTCAAGCGCACTTGCACACATACTACTGGACGTTCACTTGCACTTGCACACATACTTAATGCTACGCTAGTGGAAGTTCGCATGTGTGTCTTCGTCTGGTCTTTTCTCTTTTTAGGGAGTGGTAAATGCGTTCATTGAAACTTGCTAACAGATTTAAACGCCACGCTTCAACTTGCTAGCTAACAGGTTTGAATGCCAAGCTGGAAACCTGTTGTGAAGGAAAACCAGAGGAACTTCAAAGCTGCGGCTGGAGATCAAGAGGCAGAGAACAGACTTGGCTGCAACAAACGATGCGTAGACAGAACAACCTGGGCCACAACGCCTCACAAAAAAACTAGAGAATATTCAGGTCCTGGCGGCTGCAGCCTTGCACAGACAACCCGGTCTCCACAAAATTGTGGGTTCCCTTCGTATGTACAGAAAAGATTGCGGTGCGGGGATTGCCAAAATGCCACCCAGTGACGCATGTACTGCAGAACAAATTTAGTGGATCCAGTGGCTGCAATGAAGTGAAAAATAAAGCTTCGCAATGGTTCGCAGTTGAGGCGACGGTGAGAGTAGTTTTGCGTGGATATATTACTATACTATACTATATTATATTATATTATACTATATTATATAATATTATATTATATTATATTTGCTATTTTTGAATGGCCATTTGGGGGTATGCATCATGTTCCACCAAGGGACATGGAGATCAGAAGCCTGCCAAAGGCTTCCGGCGGCTTATCCTGCCGCGGTGGAAACCCAAGAAAATACATTGATTAATGGTGATTAATGGTGATTTAATGATGGTTAATGATGATTAGTGATGGTTAATAATGGCTGGTCGGTGGTTTCAACCTACCCCTCTGAAAAATGATGGACTTCGTCAGTTGGGATGATGACATTCCCAATATATGGAAAAATAAAAAACGTTGCAAACCACCAACCAGAATGGCGTTGCGAAACGGAAGCGCTCTATGAGTTCACCAGTAGGAAAAGGACGTCGTCATGGATGCAAGATTCGCCCAATTTATTTCAAGAAGCCGCATCGGCAAAACCCAAAAATAGATCCGAAATGGTCCGAAGTTCGTCTTCGAGCCCTTGAATCGGAAGATCAAACATGATCAAATCCAACATGATGGAATTGACGATCACCTCCTTCTGTAAAGAAGCACGTCAACTTCGGGTGTGTTCTTCCACCAATTCCAAGAGGGATGGTGGGTTCAAATCTGCTGATCGCCATACTCTTCCTTTCTCGATGTACTGGGTTTGCTTCAGGGATATGTGTATATGACTTTATATGACATAGTATAGATGTGTATGTATATATATATATATACTGTGCATAAAAAAAATGTGGTTTTACCCAATGTGTAGAAAACTTCCTGCGAACTTTTCAAGCGGTTCTCAAATGACTTTCCCTAAAAATCGCTCTGAAAATCGCCGATTTACGCCCTGCAGGGCGTACCTCATCTCCTCTTTTCACGATATAAAAGCGTGCTGCATTGACAGCTTCTGGGATCTTCAGAAGATCTTTCCTTTCCTGCCGGCAACGGGGATTCACATCCCATATGGCCCATATAGCCTGTGGTGAAGGCCAACATAAATAACTCGAATTCTCCAACTCCACAGGAAATTCCTGCATCCTCATAGCTCCCAAGCCCTAAGACAGCTGTGATTCATGTCCATCCCATGGTACCATAGATATTGACCCATCCCCACTTCTTGTTCAAGCCCGTACATGTCCAAAAAAATCGTGGTTTATGATCAAAACAATGCTGGTTTTGTTGCGTGGCAATGCCCATGCTGGGTTTCATCCTCGAAAAAAGTGGCTGGAGGACTTCTATTCACTCTGAGATTGTATACATATATATATGTGTATACATATATATATACATATATATACATATATATATATACATATAAATATATATATATACATATATATATACATATATATACATATATATATATATACATATATATATACATATATATATATATACATATATATATACATATATATATACATATATATATATACACATATAAAATATGTATATATACATAATATATTTTTATATATAGTAAGTACAGTAGTTGATCTGAAACCTTATTTGATGGCATGAGTTTGAATCTTGAGATGCCCACATCTTCAAAGCCCAGTTTCAGGGTTCAGAAAATGAAGCCTGCTGACTGACCCACAAACTTGGGTACCCTCCGGTAGCCAAACGTGGCTTGCTGATTTTCACAGCAAACTAAACCTCCAGTTATAGTAGACACTGACATTAATCCATTTATAGATGCGTTTCCCATATTTTCCCAGCTATAAACCTCCGTTGTTCAATTGGTATGGTCAAAATTGGGGGTGCCTATTTTGGGACCCACCAAAGTTCTGAGATTTTGTGGGCGACCATCCAGAACCTGGAAAAATACTTCTGGGGTAAATCTCTCATGTTAAGACACACCTATGGAGGTTTCCTAAAATATGGGTACCCCCCGAGTCATCCAGTCATTGGACCATTTTAGTATTGAATCAACCATGGTGACTTGGGGATCCCCCATTTTAAGAAGAAACCCCTATATTGGAATTGGTTTATAAAAGTGTTGACCAAAATTCACTTCATGGAATTTGTTCATGTGTTATATAAATCCCCATATGGTAAACCTGTTCTGCCGTTTGAATCACTATCTGAAGTCATTTTTTACAGTTGATTCCATACAGTAGGCCTGTCCTTGTGATTAAAATACCATTGGAAATCAAAATTTACCATTGGTTGAATCCCCATAGAGATTAAATATGTTTGTTCATTGGAATATGTGGGTCAAATTAAGATTATGTACATTTTACTATATGCAGAACCATCATGTTCTAAAGTTCATCCACCTGTTCACTGGTCAGACCCCCACACCTTTTTATGGAATCTATGGGGATACATCAAAACCTATCAGAACCTACTTCTGGCTACTTGGAGGATCCTCCCACTTTTTCGTGGCTGGTTCGCTACAGTGGGGTTATAGGCAAGCAAAGAAATGGATAGAAATGGGATAAGGAAATTGGAACTTAAGGCCGCGAGGGTTGCGACAACTTACGATTCAATGGTCCCAAAAAGGTATGTTGATGCTCACCAGGGTACAAGGTTTTGACTTATACCGATACCTCTATGTAGCATGGTCAGAACATGGGAGTAATGGGGTATATCCCATGCCATGCAGATCCAAACAGAATCTTTCAGTATATAAATGCCCATGAACATGGCAACATGAATTGATGGGTAACCAATCTCCAAAAAAATGTTCCATTTGCCCAAGCCCCTAGCTGAAAATCCACCCATTTATAGATTTTATCGATGATTTTCCCAGCGAACTAAACCTCCATGTATAGTGGGTTTACCCAGCTATAACCTTCCGTTTTGTTCCATGATTTTCCCATATTTTCCCAGGGAACTAAGCCTCCCATTTTTCGCGGGAAAAATCACCAGCTTGCCATGCTTGACGCTCCATGAATGGGTAGCTTGACCATGGCACCCCACCTTGGAGGTGCTTCTCTGTACCCAGCCGTGTGCCTGCAGGAGTTGCAAGCCAGGAAGCCCCTAAAAATGGTGGATTTGGGGAGACCAACATATTCTTTTGAAAAACTATTGAACATATTCTATCATGTGGTTGGGAAACTCCTACTAGCTCCTTGGCTCCCCATTTAATAGGAAATATGGATAGCCCTAGCTCCTCAGCTCCCTCCTAACCACTGGATAGTATTCTCTGTCGGTTCCCTAGTCGTTCTGGATTTCGCATTGAGAATCCGGCAAAGCCAAGAAGAGTACAGGGAGGGCCAAAAATCTCCCCAATAAAACATGATTGGTCCACCTCAGAATGGACACATGGACACGGTCAAAGCTGTCCTCACAGCTGAACATAGCCAGATAGCCAGGGCCGGCAGCCAAATGCGAAAGTCAACACTTCACGACGAGTTTTACTCCCAAACTGAATGGTAAAAGTGAATTCAAATCATACAAAGCCATTGGTTTCCAATCAATTTTCGAAACTGAAATTCCATGTTCCAATCTAATAACCATTCCCATGGCTATCCCATAACCGTATATTTGGACATACAACCATTGGTTGTCCAATCCAAATTGCAGATCCTCGAAATTGATTACATCCACTTCCCAGATCTGGAGGAAATCTTCCCCCCATCGGCAGCCACCTCTCTTGACCAGGGCATGAAACCTCCGGGTTGCGCCATTGTGACAAGACTGGATGAGATGGTGTTGAAAAAAAATCATTGGGAGTTTTTCTCTACCATGGTTGATTAAAAGAACAGGGATATAAAATGGGGATATCATGAGGAATATAAAAGGGAACCATAATAATTGGATACACATATAATGCGTGTATTTATATATATATATACACACATCATCGATAACTGGACATGTGGCGTTGTCTCAAAATTGGGGGATGCCCCAAATTGCCCATTGAACTTGGGAAATCGAATGAAAACATCCTGGTGGATCTAAAAATACCCTCCGGCTTGATCAAAACAAGGCTTGAAAAATTCACCAGTTCGATGAATTTCCCGAACGGAAGCTCCATTGATAGAGGGTGTTTTGCCATGTTTGACTACTAGAGGGTAAACATAGTGGTATACCTACCCCTCTGAAAATATGAAAGTCGGATGATTCTTCCCAATATATGGAAAGTCATAAAAGCCATGTATAACCTACCGCCACTTAGGTGTCGGCCCAAGTGCAGCCAAACAGCTCCCATCTTCAGTCAGGAAGGTCATGGTTCCTTTGTTGTCCACCTAGCCGCGAAAAGGATTTCCCGACGGATTTCCAGTGCAAAAAAGCGAAGTGATGTTCCACATCAAAAAACCATATCTCCTTGCTGAAGTCCATAAAAAAAGAATCAACAATAGAACATGACAAATCTAGTGATGCGCAGGGTTTATAGGATCTTGAGCACTATGATAGGAAAAATCATCGTAATGATGATGATAGTTTCAAGTGGGCTACGAAATGATTCCTCCGGGAAAATGCTGAAGTAACCCATTCACCAAGCGATCCCTGGATGGATTCCCCTGATCTCCATGGCGCATCCACGCCAGAGCGCGAAAGCAATGGAAATCCCGAAAGATCAGGGTCTGTTTAGAGGAAATCATCCAAAGTTACTAAGTACTAAATGTACTAAGCAATTCTGTGGATCAGGCTACAGCATTGAAAACGCCAGTGACAATCGTTGTCATTTTTTCTATTACATCATCCAATCGTTTAGCCATGCCTAAATGGGAGTTTGCGTGTTCCACATCATGAACAATCAGATGCAGGAGCGTTTGGAGGTAACCATGTTTCATGTGTCTGTAGTCTATACTTCATCTGAGGTGTCTTGGGATTTTCAGGGGAAACGAAACTCTACTGGTAACGCACAGCCCTTGTTGGGAACATCATAGCGATACCTTGGGGGTTTTCGCGCTGCAAAAAGCCTGGGGAATCATGTGCTTCTTCCCCGAAAACACCCTCTGGCCTTGTCTCATCCCCTGAAAAACCCCGGCCTTTGCAGGAAAAGAGAGCAAGTTGAAGTTGTTTCGAGACTGATTCCTCACACTTGGAATCCAATGGGGGCATCAGGCATCCCAAGCGGCACTTAAAATCCAATCCTGGACCAAAGGCAATATACCAAAGAAAACAACCTCACCTTTGTAATGACTCACAAGTTATCCAGATTATGACCTACATCCCAAGTTATCCCCACGAAAATGGCCACCAATTGATGGGTGCTTCATCCCCGATGAAGCGTTACCAGGCGCCGACCTTGGATCGGGAATGGCACATCCTGGCGACTGTGCCCCCCCACCCTCAGCCGCTAAGATGGTGTATCCATAGGTCATGGGGGTAACCAACTTCCACACAGATATCACCCTGTAGGTGGATAAAACTCATCAAGTGATAATTTTTGGGAGCGGGAATTGCTGGCTGCTTAACTTAAACCAAAATTGCTATAATGGGTGTATAACGGGTGTATCATGGGTTACAACCTCTTGATACTGGAAGTCATTTATGTATAGCACCCGGCAAACAGCTCGGCAGCTAAAATTACGTTGGAAACCTCGAAACTAGGCGGGAAGCATCATCTATAACATCCTGGTTTAGGGACCCCTATAAATATCATATGCTAATTCATGATATTAAATCACAAACCTGAAAAATCCGTCACTGAGAAATCTGACTATGGGGTGTTTTTTTATGTATATATACCCCAAATAGCAATAAAACAACATAGAGAACATGATGATTTGTCCATTGGGATGGGGCACTTCCCAATTTTCAGACCAAGATTAATACAGACCAGTAGAAAAACTGAAAAAAATGTCAACAGATTCCCGAAACTTAGTGGTGATTTTCATTGAAATGTCCATATTTCAAGTGCGTCTACTCCAGGACGATTTTAGCTTGTACATATATACATACATACTATATAATACAACCGTGTACAAAATTTCTACATACAGTTGCACGGTATTTGCGTGTATATGTTGCAAGTTACCTCTCCACTACATTTACATCTACATTCATATCTACACCGCATTTACAGTTGCACATATATACGTTTACATTTACAGTTTCACATATATGTGTTTACATTCACAGCTATGTTCAAACAGAAATTTGCATATTTGCAAATTTTTGTTTACATCATTTTACATTTACATTCAGATTGCATTTACATTTGCATTTGCACAATCACATACGCACGACAGTTGCATGTGCATTTACATAGGTACATATGGTGCATGCCTTACATTACATTACATCACGTCTCATCACATCACATTACACGACACGACATGACATGATGTTCCACAACGGTGCATACCATTGCATTACATTATATCACGCTACGCTGCATTACATGACATCACATTCACTCACACATACATACATGTGTATATGCACATATATCTATATATGTATATGTATATGTATATGTATGTGTATATATATATGCATATATATATATATATACACATGTATATTTACATACGGGTGCATACATTTGCGCGTTCATAGAGGATGTGCGCGGATGCCCGCAGAGACATCTACGTATATACATGTATATATGTATATACCGTATATACCTATATCTGTGTATGTATTCTTCACATGTGTACTGCAACTAGATACACTATGCAGCGGGTAGTGTATCAATACGCTCATATGCACAAATGTGTGTGTTTGTGGATGTTGAGCCTCCTAACCTAAGGATGTTTGTGGAGCCACCCCATTCCTGTTGCTGTGGCAGCAGGTTGTGAGCCTGACTATATCATCATTGTGGCTATGTAACCCTAAAAAATTGAGGGCCTACGGAAGTTCGCTACAATACAACTTGATGCGACCAGAACGCTTCTAGCCGATGGAAACATCACTTTGTCGCTATCATGTTTAGTTTGGGCACCAAAAGCACTTTGATATGCCTTTTCAAAGACTTTCGTTCAGGAGCTGCGCCACAGAATATGATAGAATCTGGTTGGTGGTTCAACCCCTCTGAAAAATATTAGTCAATGGGAAGGATTGTCCCATATATGATGGAAAATAAAAAATGTTCCAAACCACCAACCAGGAATCATATATCCACCAGCGAACTCGAAAGCTGCGCTCCGTTTTTTCACTCATCTCCCCTGCAATCCGCACCAACCAGCTTTGACCCTGGTTTCCCCGAAGGTGGACATGTAAAATGTGTCGAAGTTATGGGCTACCCCCGGTAAAAAGTGAAGGGTTCATGCATGGTCATCGGAAAACAATCAAAAATTATGGTGCTGCAAAAGAAAAGGATCTCATATTTATTATTATTACTATTATTGTTATTATTATTACTATTATTATTATTCATTTTTATTTATTATTATTGTTATTATTATTATTAATATTATTATTATTATATGTATATATATATAGCAAAAAACAAACTACCCACCAACCTATTCAATCAGTCTGTTTCGCCAGACTTGGGGTAGCTTAAACCCCTTTTTTTTGCTGGGTGACATCACCTTGGTTGGCGGTTGGTGACCGTTTATTCGGTTGGACCGTCAAGGGGATTCAAGAAGCTCCGGTCTCGGTGATCCCCCAATATGGCAGTGTGTCAAAACCTTGTACCCCTGGTGAACATCAAAATAGCTGGGATTTATGGATGTTCATCCCACTAAAAATGTATCTATAGGTATTGACCCATACCCATATGAGATGATTCAGATTCGCTCTTTTCTAAATGCTTCTCTTAAGTGATACCAAAAATTCCGAGTTGAATCCCATGAATTGTCATGCTAAAACCATCATTTTAACGGATAAAAAAAAGAGATGGAGAAACCCCCCAAAAAGGAGGGTCTTCCATAGGACCCCCCCCATTTTTCGTAGGAAAAACTGACCGCTGATCTCCTGGCAGCTGGATGAGCACGCTCACCTCCTTGCCCTCGAACCTGGGTCGAATCTGAAAAATCTGTCGATTCTCGGAAGACATCCCCATGTCTCGTTGTGAAGCTAGCGCTTTACCCTCTGGTAAACAGCCACATAGCTGTCATAGCTGTTTAAAATCACCACTTTTATATAGTGGGTAAATCAACTATTTAACTATGGAGCATTTTCAATAGCTATGTAACAAATTACCAGAGGCTATCATCAGTTTCCCTGCTCAAATGCCCATCCAGTGCCACACAAATTGCTGGCAAATGCCACCCCCCTGGGTGCCCCTGGGTGCCCCTGGGTGCACCCTGGGTGCCCCGGACCCTGCGAGATAGATTCCCCGGTAGAGTTTCACTTGCAAATATCCCCTGGCAACTCCGAGGCGGTCAGAGATGGATGTTCTCTTGGCAAAAATCACTGGATTGCTGGGAAAATCGATAGAAAACCAGGTTTTTTTCCCATCCATGATTGGGGTGTCCTGTAATTTTTCTCTTGAACCAATTTTTATTAATGAAAGAATACAGGGGGTCAAAAATGTCTTTTCGGGAAATTTGTGAGATATTACTAGATTTGATCTATATACAGTTCTTTAAATGTCCGTTTGAAGGGATATAATATGATGCTGATTCCGTGCAGCATAAACAATGGGATCAACCCTTGTCAGGCATAGCACATTTTCATGGATAAAATGGAGCTGACGCTGTGGTTTCGTTCATAATGTTGACGACATATTATTTAAAACATTGATCCCAAAATGAAATTGTGGGTTTCCTCTTCAAGTTCTAATCTTGCGCTTTTCAGCACACCGCCAAATGTTCTAGTGGTTTGTTCTTTCCTTCATTCCAAATCCTATTGTCACGGACGTACGTATGGCAAGTGCAAGCAAACCTTCTGTAGTGTAGCATCAAAAATGTGTACAAGTACAAGTGCCCATTTTGTAGCGTAACATCACATATCTGTGTGGCAAGCGCAAGTAAACATTATTAGCCCTCCCAGCAGCTGAAAATGAAAGACCGGGTGAAGCGGGCCCAGACACATAAGTCTACTAGTAGAGAATCGTTATAACAAAATGCTGCATGTTATCCACAAAGGATTGAACAAGAACAAAAGATTTGAAAACACTAGAAATATGAATAGAACATTATAGAACAACTAGAAATACAAACAAAAATAGGAAAATGATGATTAGCAGTATCATGTGGACAAATGACCTTCACGAACCTGAAAAGTTCAGGGATCGTTCCCCGTACATTTGGAACGAGCCATGAACAAGTCATTTCGAGGTGTCCATAAATGGGGGGTTCCCCAAAATGGATGGTTTATAATTAAGGGGAAACCCCTTCTAAAATGGATGATTTGGGAGTAGCCCTATTATAGAAACCGCCATTTCAAGTTACTTCCAACATACCAGATAGGGGCAAATTGGATTAATTGAGTGATAAAATTACCCATGTGTCCTATTTTGTGGCTATCATATACCTATGATAGGCTGAAAAACCAGGAGGCTAATCCCTATAAGCCATGAAAATTTATACCCCCATCCGATCCCATGAAATGCTGATTGGTTTAATTTGCTTGAACCATGATAAACCAATGATAATTCAACCATGATAAATCAATGAATCATGGTGACTGGAACCATGATAAATCTGATAAACCATACTTCTATCATAGTTCTATCACAGATTATCACAGATTTAAAAAAAATGGAACTATCAATCCCTCGTTCTCTCCGTCCTTTCCGAAAAAAAGGCCTCCGTATCTTTGTCTTCGTCACCTCTCTGAGCGACTCACCTCGCAGCTTGCAGTGCCCCAAACTTTTGATGGTTTCAAAATGGCTTCTGGTTGGTGGTATACCTACTCCTCTGGTAAACTAACATAGCTATTGAAAATGGTGATTTATAGTGGATTTTCCCATTAAAAATTGTGATTTTCCATAGTTACGTTAGTTTACCAGAGGGTACTCCTCTGAAAAATATGAGTTCGTCAGTTGGGATGATGAAATTCCCAACTGTTTCTGGAAAGTCATAAAATTCCATGGTTCCAGTCACCACCAACCAGGCTTATATATGATCATTTGGAGGATATACCGCAAAACACCCCGTTTTCAGACACAGCACAAAAAAAAACTCCTGTTAAACTAAGATAGATGTGGAAAACCAACCATGTGTATATGAATATCCTAGGAAAACTATGGGCCTTCCACATCTTTTTGTATGTTTACCCTTGGGTAGGGCCCCGAGGATGTAATGAGGCATTAATAATTTGTATAACCAACAAGCTTAGATATCATGATATGAGCCATTAAAAATACCCCTATCCCATCTCATTGTACTAATTGGTTGAAAACGGTGTCCCAATCCTATTATGGGGCCCATCATAATCCCCAGTAAAGCAGGTAGCTGCAAATCCTCAAAGGCAATCAATTACCCTCTGGTAAACAGCCACATAACTATGGAAAATCACCACCACCATGCTATTCATGGGTAAATCAACGAACTAAATAGCCATGTTCAATAGCAAACTGTTACAGTCATTACCAGAGGATACAGTATATCTGACTCATCAAAAAGTTGATGTACCTATCAAAAATCGTCCAAAATTGTGATTTTCCATAGTGATTTACCACAAAAGTAACCAGGGTATTTTGCTTTTGGCTCATCGCATAAAGATGAATCGGATCTCAGCAACGGAATATGACCAGGGCGGCCATGGATATGGCATATGGATGCCATCCATAAAGGGAGATATCATGAATCATGGGGATATAATGAAGATATCATGAAGATATCATGAAGATATCCATGAATCATGGGGATATCATGAAGATATCATGAAGATGTCATAGAGATATAATGGCCAAGTAAAAGTCGTTGCAACTGCTTAGTGCTTCGAAATTGGGTCTCAGGTGGCGATGGTGGGGCAAAATCTGATCTTCTCGGCTTGGCAGAACCGGTAGTTACCCAGCCATGGGAAAAAAACTTTCACCGAGACCCAAAAAATGACTAGAACAAGTCATGAATCATATATGTATGCCTCGATGAAAGTGGTGTATATACAGAACACTCAATGTAAATAGTGCGTGTCATGAATCATTAATATACCTGAAAATCGCCAATTACCATGTTTGATGGCTACTGGAAATCACCATTCTTGATGATTAAACTCGATGATTAAACACCCACAAATGCCTCCAGGAAATTAACAGTTTCACTGGTCCATTTTGAGTGGAAAATGATCTTCCAACCGCCGGACTGCCGGTACATACGAAAAACCACGTCTATCCCCTCGCGACGGAGTTCCGCCTGTGGTGGGCCTAGATGAGAAGCGAAGAAACTGCGCGCAGGGCAAAAAAAAACAGCGGACATCTCGATGGCGTGACCCAAGAATCGACCATCCCCAAGATTCACATAGACTTGACCATTTTGAGATGAAAGTAGTCTTCTAATTTTGAGAGGAAGTGGCCTTTGTTATCTGAGGGGATGGTAGTTTTCAGTACTGACATCATGACATTCCAAGCTCAAAGTATCATAAATAGCAAGCTGTCCTTTGAAATGTCAAATGTCAGATTGACCTGGCTGGAAGCTTTTGGGTATTTCTGATGCAGTGGGTAGCAAAACTTCATGATCCATTCCCAGGCCATTTCCACATTGCCTTAAAATGGGAGGATAAGATGATACGCCAATTTCAGGTTCAATCTCCGAAGACTTCTGGTGTTCCCTACATATCTAGCTGTCTGAAAATGGGGGCGCCCAAAAGTTCTGGCCCTTTGAATATCGTTTAAGAACGGAAAATTCGCCGTGGTTTTGCTTCAGCATCCCAACAAAAAAACAAAATTGTCACTTCACTTCAGACTTTCGAGATCTTTCGAGACTTGGATTTGCTGAAGCCCAAAAAATATCGAATGATTCCCCAGTCGTAGTGGATACATATCATATAATTTCCCAGCAATAGTGGTATTGTATCATATCAACTGCCAAAAGAAAAGAAAAAATATCCCTTGCTGATTCCCCAGTCGTTTTGTGGATTTCCCAAAAAGGGAAAATCCGGGGACCCCAACTAAGGAGCCACGGTAGGTACTTGGAGTCATGCGGCCTGCCAAAGGCTTGGTGAATGGCTGGCCGACCGCATGAAGCAAATATAAAAAATACATATATATATAATTATATACTGTGTATATATATATAACCAGAAAAAATGTCAAATTTGAACCCCAACTATCCAATTTCCAGCCGTCGGTTTGAGTAGGGCAAGCCGGGCAAGCCAGGGTTCCCGAAGTCTGGGGTCCAGATGGTATGGGTCACCCTTGCTGTGATGTCGTTGGTATATGTTCACTGATCCTTTTTCAAAGCAAAGGGGATTCAACCGACTAGTGTAACCACGCTTTGTTCATCTGGATGTGAAACTGGTAAGTTGCTAGTGTCCAGTCAGCAAAGGGGATACCAGATACCACTTGGGACCACAAATGGCTGGTCATACCCCCAAAAATTGGTCCAAAATTGATTGCAGAAGTTCAGTTCTTTGTTTCATTGGAGCCACACAGTTTAAGCGGCTTGACATCGGCCACCTCGATTCATCTGTTCCTCGCTCTTTTTGTAATTGCTCTGCAGCGCTCCGCCGTACAAGTGCTTCCTCAGCGAATGGGAAGCAATTGGATTGGACAGGCCGGGATAGGTTTCACCAGAACCGGGCAGGGCAACAAGGATAGAACAATGAGAATGGTACCCTCTGGTAAACTAACATAGCTATTGAAAATGGCCATTTATAGTGGATTTTCCCATTGAACATGGTGATTTTCCATAGCTATGTTAAATTACCAGAGGGTACACCTGATCAGATCCCCCAAAAAAGCATGAAAAATCTCCGAAGCTTCTGGTTACCATCGCTGCTGTGCCCCAAAGCCAGCACTGCCGTGACCAAAACCACTTCGGAAAATGATCGTGGGCTTTCCATATCTCGAATCGAGAATCTCGAATCGCTAGAGGCTACCGGTTGTATCAAAAACCACATCCACGACGCCACGAGTCACAACTGCACTTTTTTAGGGCCGTGAGAACTCACTGGTGATGGACTACACCGGGCCCCGTTCAGAAATCCCCAACGATGATCAGCAACGATGAGGCCATGAAAAAAAAACGCATGACTCACATGTAAGAGGTCGTGCATAGGTGCAAGAAGATGCTTTCCGTGGAAAAATTGCAGTACACCAAAAAAACTGTAGGGTGTGACATCTTGGCAAATTATCAAGATTTCAAAAAAACCTTACAAGTTCACCTTTTTTTGAATGATTCCACCCAGCATCATTTTTCTGGCTGATTTTTGCCATACTTTTCTGGTGCATTCAGCTCGTTTGGGGATTCTCCCATCATTTCTCGTCAAGGCCCAGTCTGGTATTGGTGGTGAAAAAGGTCCCGGAAAGAAACCCACTATAACTACATCCAAATAGTCACCACATAGTCAATAGTCACCATATAGTCATGTGGTCCATTATATCCCCAATATTATATAGGGTGTGTGCCACTCAGGTAATTACGATATGAAAACTGGAAAACTCAACAATTGTACATCATTTTAGGAACTGGTTTCCCCATCGGTTTTCTATATCTATGTTGGTTTACTGGCGGCTAACCATCCCCAAAATCACCATAAAAATAGGTGGTATAGTATAAACATGTATAAACCATTCCCAAATGGGTGGTTTATTGTTGTTTTAACCACATGATATCCCCTTTTTGTTTTGGACATCAATCCGCTTCCACGACGTCGAGACGCCATTCCATCCGTCCCGGGCCCGCGGCGTAGACCGACGTCTGCCAGGAACCAAGCTTTGAGAGGCATGCCATATGAGAAGCATGAAGAAAATGGGTGTAATAGGTGGTGGCTTAAATAACTTATAATGGTTAGAATTATGAAGGATTATGATAAGCAAATGAATTTAGGGATTTTGTTTTTGCATATTTGGTACCACAATAAAATAAGCCTACGTAACCTACGTACGTATGTCATTATAAGGGATTCTAATGGACTATGGGTGAATCAGCAAGCAGTTTCGTCGTGGTAGAAGACAGGCAAGAGACTTTCATCAGTCGGCCATGGCAACCAAACAGGCCAAAACACGCACCAAAAAACCTCAAAAAACCATTCACTTTCAATATGATAGTGCTGGACTCCCCTTGGCCAAGCTATCTGAGTGCTTGAAGACTCTTGAAATACCACTATGGCCAGTGGTGTTGCTTCCAAAACACATCAATCTTTCAAGGCAGGTACCGAAAATGGAAGTTTCCAGATAGGCTGTTTTGGATGTTCAACAGCCACTTTTTTCAGAAGTGTGTCAAGACTGAAATCCGCAAAGACCAATTCCTGGGTCGGAATTAACGCCTCTCCAATGAGCCGTTCCTCACCAATCAAGTTGTTGCCACCCTCGGCTGTCGAAGCTGTCGTCACCCCCCGCGACTTTTGTCTCATTGGTTGGTGGTTTTAACCATCTTGAAAAATATGAGTTTGTCAGTGGGAAGGATGACATCCCATATATGAAATGGAAAATAAAAGCCATGTTTGAAATCACCAACCAGCTCAAAAAAGATCGAAAGGTTTACTGAAATCCAACATCTGTGGTTGGAAATTCAATATGTACCCGGGAACAATCAAAAGCCTGGAATGTGCGAAAAGTTATTGATCACGAGTTTAGTGGGATTTTGGTGTTTGAAAACACTGTTACCTGGGTATGTCTTAAATTGGGTATACCACCCCAGGTATGAAGGAAAAAATGGTAATACTAGTAATACATGATACCCTCCCGTAATTTGTTACATAGCTATTGAAAATGGCCATAGAAATTGTTGATTTACCTATGAAAAGTTGGGATTTTCCATAGCTATGTAAACGTTTACCAGAGGGTAATCCATTGGAATGAATGTTCTTCATTTTCAAAGAAATCCACCCGGCGACCTGGTGAAAAATCCTGTGATTATAGTTCCACCGACAGGAATGGGTATGACAAGTGGCAACAGGAACTACAGGGCATGCAACAAGCCAAAACGTTCACCTGTTCCATGGTCGAAACAACTTGTATGGGGGCTGGTCTTTCAAAGAACATTCTGCAGGGATTCTTTTATTTGGTTTACAAGAAATCTTGATATGATCCCCCTTTTTACCGTCACCCCATAATCTAGGCATAAACAAACAAGTCTTGACAGCAAAAAGTCAACCAACCCTGGAAGCCGCACCAAGTTGTGATTCCCACATTAACCATCATTAACCTACATTAACCATATAATAACCATTAATATTAACCATCAAATTAACAGTATATTAACCATCATTAACCTACCATAAATTAATAATCATTAACCTACCATAAATTAATCATCATTAACCATCATTAAATCATCTTTAACCATCATGAAAAATCACCATTCATCATCATCAATCATCATCAATCATCATTCACCTACCATAAACATCGCCCATGTCCTTTTTCAGCTCTCAAAAACCCACCAACCAGATTATCATTAACCATATAATAACCATTTATATTAACCATCAAATTAACAGTATATTAACCATCATTAACCTACCATAAATCAATCATCATTCACCATCATGAAAAATCATCATTCACCATCATGAAAAATCACCATTAAATCATCATTAATCATCATCAATCATCATTCACCTACCATAAACATCATAAACATCCCAGCCCATGTCCTTTTTTCGCTCTCCAAAACCACCGATTTTTTCGGCATCGAACCTGGGTCCCTGACGCTCCAGACTTCGAACCTCACGTTCTGCCGGGTCTTGGAGACCGAGACCTGGGCGTCGAAAAGAACTCGACGACGACGAAGACGTTTGTGTGTGGGCCAAAAAATGGTGGTTTCATGGGGATACCCTCTGGTAAACATACAAAAAGCTACTGAAAATGGTGATTTATAGTGGATTTTCCCATTAAAAATCATCTGGAAATGATTCTCATTGGATTTGGTTTAAGGGAAAATCTTAACCGGAAACTGGCTGGTCTTTACCATCAAATTGATCGGGATTTCCTGTATAATGGATGAATGGATATGAATAAATTGAATACCCTCCGGTAAACTATACAAAAAGCTATTGAAAATTGTCATAGAAATAGTGGATGTTCCCATGAATAGCATCGTGATTTTCCATAGTTATGTGGCTGTTTACCAGAGGGAGATTTCATGGAGATATGATGGGAAAATGGTGATTCATGGCGATGAAAAATGGTGCTTTAATGATTTTAATGGGATGAATCTAATGGTGATGATAGAGGTTCAATGAACCAAACAACAGGGATGTTAGTGGATATACCCTCTGGTAAACAAACATAGCTATGGAAAAATGGCCCATAGAAATAGTTGATTTACCAAAAAAAAGTAGTGAAAATCTCAATAGCTAGGTGGCTGTTTACCAGGCCGGGTCTCCAAATCTTTTCTTCCACCTATGATTTTGGGGCAGGAAGACACCAACAGTGTGTTTCATGAGGTTGGTTCATGGGAACATCTGTAGGAAACCAGCAGTTTTTGGTGCATTTGTCCCTTCAACCACTAGGAAAATACGGGGATGAAAATCGACAAACGACAAATTTCTCCCAAGAAAATTCCGGTGATAGAACCAGCAATCTGAAACTGACAACTGAAACTGATAATGAGTATTGTTTGCTGGTTGCACTCGGCCGAGATTTCCCAGACAGGTTCCCGGGGACGAGTGTGACCTCGCTAAAGTCGCTGTGTCATCCATGTCCTGAATATTCTCCATTATATAAATTGCCATCAGGGTTGAAAAGAGGGTACCCCGAAATATCCCGGTTCAGCATCATTTTCTCAAAGTATAGTCAAGTTGCCATGGATTGCGGATATGCCATTTTCACACCCATAAATTGGGGCTTAATACTCCCACGGTTCTGGCATTGCTGTCTGGGATTCCCCCGCTGGCACGGAACCCGAAAAAGTCGAAAGCCATTTGTCTTTGTCGACAAACTCCGTATCCCTGATTTCAGGGTTGGCTCACAAGGTATCTGCACAAGATTCCTGAATGATTTTGATCAGAGCATCAACTCTTGAAACGGCTTTTCCCACTGCTCTATTGGTGTATTCAAAGCGTGTTTGCCTCATCCATGTCCTTGTGGTGTTTCAATCGCAAAGTTCTCACATCTTAATCATCCCATTTTATCATGTTGTACAATTTAAATCCCACTTTTCCATATCTTATCCCAAGTCTGATGTGTGTTTTAAGATTTACCTCCTACTGTGGAAGAAATCCTGAGTTGGTAGATGGATGTGTTAAAAATCCCAGTATAATATCCCATAATTTCTAGTGTTTCATAGTTGTGGGGGTACCCCTAAATCATCCATTTTAATGGGGTTTTCCATGAAATAAACCATCCTAAGCTCGCTTGGGGGTACCCCCATGACTATGGAAACCCAACTGCTTCGGATTTCGCGTTACCTTCCCACAGCGACGTTCGGTCGACTCAGAGCCCGGCAAGGTCAACTCTTGGCTTTGGGCGTGGGCTGAGAAGACCTTGATCTTGGGAAAGGGCCTCAGAGGTTGCAGCATGCGACGACATGACGGAGATGTTCTGATGTGATGAAGATGTGATGATGTGATGATGTGATGATAGGCCTGAAATTTCGGCCTTATATATGGTAGGTGCCTCCAATTTAGAATCCTGGAATGGCCATTGATACAGTAGATTTTTATTTCTATACAATCAACAATGCTATTTTTCGTGGGTGTACGAAGAAACAGGCTGAGATGTGATGAGAATATGATAGAATATATTGAATAATGGGATAGATTGATACAATTATATGTAATTCGCTAGGGGGCTGACGTTTGCCCGAAATCCACTGAATTCCGTGCGGGACTCCAATCTGCTATCTTGCTTCGGCGCATGTTTTTCGCAAACTGCAATTATACAAAATATTCATGGTACTTGCATCTCATTGCATTTTTGAGCTTACCTAAGACGGCGCCAAAATCATGAACCATGTCTTAAACAAGCTTAAGCATCTTCTCTGCAATTTGGAGTGTTTCGAGCCATTAACCAAAACCTCAACAAACCTTAAGACCTCAAAAGAGTGCCAAAACAACCCAACCCTAAATAGATCCTAAACCATCCTAAACCAACCCTAAATGCACCACTTAAATAACCAAAACAAAGCCCGCCCCAGAGGGATACGGTGCTGCATAAATGTTGGGGTTAACCATCAACATATATGGGCCATGGTCAATACTCACTATATGGTTGATGGTCATCCCATCCATAATGAGGATCCTTATAATGGTTATTATAAATCTCTATGAACCATTGGATGACTAGCCCCTATTAATGGTTATTAACCATGAGTATTGACCATCAACATATATGGGTTTGGACCTGAAAATGGATGGATTACCCTCCAAATGACCATTGAAAATTGTGGTGTTTGTGATCATCATCCAATGGAACTGAGGCTACCCTCTGGTTATGTCAAAATAGCTATTGAAAATGGCCATAGAAATAGTGGATTTACCCATTAAAAATAGTGATTTTCCATAGTTACGTTAGTTTACCAGAGGGTAGTTTAGTTTAGTTGATCCTGTGTTTTCTTTCCAATTCAAAGTTGGGAGCTTCCAGCTAGTGTGAAACTGAGAATTCTTTTTGAAAAGAATCTCGCAAGAAATCTGCGCAACAAGAAAAGTTTCATGTTTAACAGACCAATTTTACGGAAGAAAAAAAACGGAACTGCCCTGACCAAGGCGCATCCGCAAACCGCAGGCCATGGCTTCGACCTCCAATATTTATAGGAGGCACATATCCCAACTACTGGAGGCTATCGATGTGCTTTAACTTTGAGTCGGATAAAAAAAGGTACTGTAAATCCGTCGAAACCCCAAAAAAGTAAAAAACATGTGTATATATATATAGTCGTGTCTGGCGCAAATATATATATACCTGTTCAATGGGCCCAGCAAATTTGTATACATACATATACTTTTATGATGAAAAGGAATACTCCTCCATTGTTCTGGGGTATGTTATGTTTATATATATTATATATATATAATTATATATAATTATATATATACGTATAATTATATACATTCTGATTTCTCCATCCAGACATGTGACAGTTGGATGGATACATACTGGGTGGGAGTCGATAGGTTCCTATGGGATGCTATCGGGATCTTCCCAGTTGTGCGCTCATGCGTGTTCCATCTGTTTTTATCTACTGTAAGTTTCTTTTTGTGAAAGCTACATATCGTATTGTTGGTGAAATACATCGCAACAACTCTCCATTCATATTTCTACAGATGTTATAAACTGATTTCATCAAAGGGGTGCTTCTTAACAGGTCGAAGGGCTGGCATTCCGAACAACTTGACTGACTTTATGTTACCAATGGATCCATAGGGTACATAGTTTATCTACCGGCTAAGTGAGTCCCCATATTGTCAGTGGGTCAAAGTTACATCTGACCACAGAATTCACTTCTCAACGGGGCTGTTTTCGAGTTCATCAAATCCCACGAAAATGTGGGATTAACCCAATTTTTTCAACCATCCCTTACCATAGGTGGGTGGTTTGATCAACTGCGTTGATGATCTCCAGAGATCCTTTTTGCTGTGGGGATGTTCACCCACAAGAGGATAGGCTCCAAACTCTCAAGTCACATTCCAATTTACCTTGATGAAAATGTTGAAGCCATACCATGGGATCCATGGGATGCGGGCATGCTACTCTTATCCAAGTCAAACTTGGTCATAACCTAAATCCACTGGTTCATCATGATTTTCCCATGATTTTCCCCGTGAAAATTGCGGGCATAGCCTAGCCCATTGTCTGACATCCCCCATCAGGAATTCGCCCAGTTCCTAGTAACATGGCTGGCTGGAAATCCAGTTGCAGTTGCAATTTCCTCTGCAAAACCCCAAGGCCCCGGCCAACCTTACCAGACCTTTAAAAAAAACTTAGATGGTTAGTATAATATGCATCTAAGAAAAGAAACTTCCAACATGAAGGTCATATCATACTAATTTTCAGAAGTAAGATTCTTAGTAAATTCCAAGGCTTATCCAGTCTAAAAAAATCGCTCAACAACCTTCCTTAGCTTCCAGACATGAAAGGTTCCCTGCGAGGACCAATCTTGGTTGTAGTCACCAGCATTCACCTCACCAAAGACAAAGGGTGGTTTCAATGGATTTTAGCAAAACTCTTAACGGGACACCATGCTTTTACCATCAAGATCCATCAAGTATAGGGATTTTATCGTTGCGTTCCCTTTCAGAAATTCAAAAAAACACCAGAGATTGGATTTCATGGCTGCGACCATCAAGATTTTCAGTAAGTGATAACACCAGTTGAGTCTCAGTCAAAATCCAGCAAGGAGGCTTCGGTTTGGTGTACCAGACTTGCCTACTCGTTGCGACAAAGGGCCTCCGCCAAGGTGGCCTTTTCTTAGTTTGCCCTGCCACCAAGTTCTGAAAGGCGGCAAGGCCCTGCCCCAGAGATCATCTGCCCTCTGATCAAACGTGGGAAATCCATGGATATCGGGCGATTGACGGATCGCCCCAAGGCTACAAATTGGGGCCCCTGACAGGTGGGAGATAGGCTCCATCTTCCAAGCTCCTCCTGGGTCGGGTGAGACACCGGGGATTGGGGAGACAGCAGATGGCAAGTTGCTGTCTCAGCGGGGATGCATGATTGGCGGGGTCACTTGAGCTTCTGCACACCCAAAACTCTATGCATTTTTTTTTTTTCTGTCTGTCTGTCTGTATCTATATACATATGATGACTCTACATAATGCAAAAGCAAAGATGTTGTATACTTTCAAACATACATGTGTATCTAAAAATATGTATGTTTAAATGGGAGTTTCCATACATGGAGATACCCCAAAAAAAGCTTGGTTTATCAAGGAAAATCCACATCTAAAATGGGTTTTTTTTGGGGCTACCCCGATATTTCTGGAAAGCCACGGTGCCATTTTCTGGCGCCTGATCAACGCCTCGTCGTGCAGATCTGCGCCTGCGAGCCGCGATGGGAGCATCGATTCGGGGGGACACAACCGGGAAGAAATTCTGAAAGTCGATTGGATCATTTGGATTTAGGGTTTTGGGTTTTGGGTTTACAATTAGGGTTTACTGATTTAGGGTTTTTCTAGAAATTCTAATTGTCATGCTGAGATTGATTAGAATACTTGATGTAAAAGGCAATCAATGTCGAGCGAAGGCAAGCGAAGGCAAGGTACCAATTTTGTTGAGCTTTGATCGGCGCCCATATCTTCATGGAGTCAACTGGTGATGCGAAACCTTCTGTCATCCTGCCAGCTACTGGCAAGTTGATGGAGGGTCTGATAAACAATCCAGATCCTCACTAAATCGCTTCGTAGAACGCCACTACTAACGCCCATCGAGCAACCATTGTTTCTGGAGGATGATACTTTTTGCAAATGAAATTGTTCATGTTTGTTGGGCAAAAAATGGTCCGCATTCGAAAGACATTGCTGAGTTTGGATACGCAGCCACAAAATAGTGGATTCTAGCTGGGTATCGCACATTTTACCACAAAATAAAGCTAAATGATTGACCTGATTCAATCATTCTTGCCATTTACCAGCGGGTTTTTCGCAGGATCCATGAAGCACCAGGGGCCAATGGCATTCGAGCACCGTTCAAAACCCCCTGTCGTTCCTTCGTACTGCTTGATGAAGGGCTGGATACCCAGTTCATGGATGATGATATCCTGAATATATTCGATAGATTCGATAGTAATTCAATAAAAACAACCAACCATTAACTAACCATCAACCAAGCAAATTTTATCAACTATAGTCTATAGTCTATAGTACATTCCCATCTGTGGATAATTAAATCCATATATCATGTGCTTAAATCTCCACGTCATGAACCCGTCCAGCTGCAGCGCAGCTGCCTGTTTGGTTAATGTCGAAGATCACTTCCATGAGCCCCACACGCATCTTGTCCTGCCAAGGGTCACCTTTAAGATAAGAACTCAGTCAGCTGGTACTGTACGTAATTTCGTAGTCCCCATATAAAACTTCATAATCTACCAAAATAGTCTGTTATAGATTATTATGAACCATATAGATTATAGTATTATTTTTTAGTACCAATTTCATAATCTACTATAATCTACGAAAAAATCTTTTTTGAACACGGTGATTTCACATGAAGTGGAACTCCTCAGAGAACCAGAATTTCTGCGGGGGAAAAGTACACCCCAGTGGGGTTGACTTAACGGTTAGATCTCTGGTGCAAAGGACCACCAGCCCTGGGCGACCCATATACCCTCTGGTTATGTCAAAATAGCTATTGAACATGGCCATAGAAATAGTGAGTTTTCCCATTAAAAATGGTGATGTTCCATAGTTATGTTAGTTTACCAGAGGGTAGTTTGATATGTCATCCCCCTCCAATCCGATTCGAGGTGACCCGTGAGATATTGGGATGCTCTGTTACAGAAAAAAAAAACTGGCGATGCCATGATATGGTCGAAATTCACAGGGAAACCACCGGTCGAAAAGTTGGATGGGATGTAATCTGAAAAGAAAATTTGAAGCGGTGTCAAATTTGGACAAAATTTCACGAGGATTGTTCCTGGCTCTTCCAGGTGGTTGGTGAAAATCCCAGCTATCCGATATCCCCTGGAATGCGAGGTGAAAATCTGCGACCAGAAAGAAAAGAAGTTGCTGACCACATCGTGGTGGCAGGAGATCCAGTCATTCCAAGCGTTGATGGTTGGGAAATCCTGCACCAGTTGATAGGTGGTTTATGTCTCCCATTATTCATAGGGTTTCAACCATCCTAAATTGCTGGTGCAGGATTTCGCTGGCCATCCACATTACAACAACATAAAAACCACAGTTGGGTTTTAGGATACCCTCTGGGAATTTGTTACATAGCTATTGAGCATGGTCATTTAGTTCGTTGATTTACCCATTAATAGCATGGTGGATCTTTCCACAGTTATGTGGCTGCTTACCAGAGGATACCTCTAAAACAACAATGATTGCATAGGACAGTTGTTTCGCCCGTTAAACTCCCCGGACTTCCCCCGAAAAGGTCATGATGGTTGGTCAGCAACTGCGCTGCGAAGTGTTCCCTCGGCGATCAAACTTGGGGATGCAACAAATACACCTGTGTATGTATACATATACCTATGTAATGTACATATATATATATATATGTCCATACATCTACTTATTTATTGATTTATTCATTTATCTATTTATTTGCCTGTGTTTTTCCTGCTTATATATATATGTGTGTGTGTGTTTATGTTTACATGTATACACATATATTGTTGATTATATATATATGTGTTTGTATGTGTTTGTCTGAAAATAGGTAACCATAAATCTACTGGTTAATCATCATGTTCCCTACTTAGTTAAAAATATCCAGTTTACGGGTACACCCCATTTTCAGTAATACCCATTATATATATATGTAAATGTATACATATATATATATATTATATATATATACATGTGGCTACTTTGACGGAAAATCAAACAACCCACATTTTTGAGCCATGCTGTTGTCTCGAAGTCCCAACGGATAATCTTTGGCATGTCCATTGGAAATTTTCACTGCACCTTTGACAACCAAGAGTCGGGTCAACCGTTCAACCGTGAACCTTCAAAAGCTCGAAGTTTCTCCAAAGAATGAAGTCATCAATGGTTTCTCGGAACTCAGGTTGCCAGGTTGCCAGGTTGCCAGGTTGTGTTGTGTTGTCCGGATCTCACCGTATTTTAGGAAAGGGATCATCGATGAAACGTGCTACCAAGGGACCCAGATCTCACCACGCAGTCCCCAAGAAGTCGATCAAACGCCAAGTTGGGTAGGTGCAGCCATTTTTTTGTTTACGTCACCAGCCCATTTCAGGCATATGTAAGGTTTGTGTATGTAAAGGGGATATATATATATATCGGATATATCGCCCCAACCCCTCCATTTTAGGGTCCTGAAATTGCGATTGTTTATGGGGCCCACCAACCAGGCCCTAAATGTCACGGCCCCCACTTCCGCTGGCTGTTCGAGATCTTGTCGTAGAGATTTGCCAAGGAGCCCTGACGAAGTGGTGAAAATATGTGAAAAACTCTAAGAGATTCTGTCAAGTTTTTTGGTCCTTGGCTAACCCTATTTACACCCTGCAAGAAAGAGTCTATCTGATTGGTGGATGTCAAGGGTTGCTGATCGATTTCTGGGAGTCCGTCAAAATTCAGTGGATGCTGCCCAAGAGGGGTTGAGCAGTGGTACAGTTCAATACGTTGCTCCAAAACAAAGCAGTCACATTTCATGTTCCAAAATTGTTCATGGTGTGCTGGTTTGTACTTTTAACCATCCTACAAATATTAACCTCAATTTCGTTTAATCGTCCCAAGTAGGAATGGGAAAAAAACATATCGAAGATCAGGAACCGATGTGGCTTGAGTCTATCCTGCGAGAGTTGGACGTGCTCAAGCGTGCCCTAAGTATATGTATGCGTACGTCCGTACATATATATATATATACTACGAGGGCCCTTTTTCGGCCAGAACCTTTTTTGGTGCAGTCATAGAACAAGAATGGTGATACCTTTGATTTTTTGGCACCAAAAGTGGAGCTTGGTTTGCCGTAACAACCTGCACAGCTAGGCGGAGCCAACTTCGTGGTGGCAACGTTGTCATTCTTTTTAAAGCGGCAGGAGGGATATGGGGCCGGTATAACTGTGGTTATTTATATATATAGTGACGTATCCACATGTGCCATGGTTCATAAATTTCCCTACCATGCGTTCATACTCCTCAAAAAAAAATTGGGTAGCATAAGTCCCGATGTTAACAGATCAACTAATCAACTATGCTATTTCTAATCGCTCACATAGTTCACTGGTTGCCTGCACCCCCAGCCGGCAATTCTTCGATACCGATCCCTCTCCTTCCAGGAGCCCAGTACTTTCCGTGTCAAGACCGGTTCCTGCATCGTCGCAGAAGCCATGTGGCTGACGTTTATACGATTTTCAGGGCAATGTGATCAAACCAAAAAAAACATCGTAATATAACAATTTGTTGGTAATAATAAAATAGGATGATGATGATGATGACAACGACGACCATGATAAAAACGATATTGATAATAATGATACGCCTACAACAACCAATCAACTTTGCCAACCGACCTTTAACAACCAGAGTTCTAAGGTATGGGGAATCTTGGTATTCAGAGTTCCGATGGATTTCGCAGAAGTGCAAAATATTGTGGGGATATTCCCTTACATAGGCCTTATATAGGCCTTATACATGGTAGGTACCTTCAATTTAGGTTCCTGAGATGGCCATTGATATAATCTTGGCTTCAGGGTTTTGAGGTTTAGGGGTTTAGAGTTTAGGGTTTCAGGGCAGAAAGGGGTTTTAGGGTTTTTTGAGTTGCTGCAAAAACAAGAACAACAACCCTTGCTGTGCTTGTCACCAGCTGCCGAGAAGAGTCAATAACTGCCGCGTAATGATAATAAGAACAATGATAATTATACAAACAATGATACTAAGAATGCTTAGAACACCAATGAAACACATATGTATATATATATATGCATATATGCATATGTGCAATCTGCTAGAACTTTAGAGACCTGAAAAGACTGGGTGCTTTCAACGCTGGGTCGACCTTTCGACCACATTTCCAGCGCATCGCCACAAAACTTCGTCGTGAAATGTGCGCCTCAAGCCTAGTCAGAATCTAGCTAAAGAATTCTGGTATACTACAAATCTGACAGTTGCCCTCTGGTAAATTAACATCACTATGCAAAATCACCATTTTCATCCATTTTCAATGGGTAAATCCACTATAAATGGGCTATTTTCAATAGCTACGTTAGTTTACCAGACGGTCCTTTAAGATACTTTAAGTCTCTGCTTGGTCACAAATCATGCACTTCACGGTTGCGCACCCCGGAAGCTGCTTGGTCACAATGGTTTTCGTCCCACTGGTCCCACATGCATACTTGGTACAGTTGGGGATGGTACTTGATGGATATCACGATATTGTTACCCTCTGGAAATTTGTTACATAGCTATTGAAAATTGCCCATTTATAGTGGATTTATACCCATTAAAAATGGTGATTTTCCATAGTTCTGTTAGTTTACCAGAGGGTAAGCCCTATACTATGCTGATACACAGTATCTACTTTGGTCACTGGTTTATTGGGCTTGACGTGTGGCCATGTCACTGCTCAAGAATTGGAGACATGGTCGGGTTTTGCATGCACATGTATATTATGTTTGCATGTTTCTATCTAAATATCTATGTGACTCACTTGTTCATGAACGTAAGAGAGAATCCCTCTTGCTTTCTAACTGATCAGAACCCAATCCAAGAAACCGACGCGCCTGAACAGCTGCATGTGCAAAAAGATCCTTTTTGCGGACGCTGCTCAGGGCATGGGGCGAGCAGGTCACTGTCAGAGACACTGATCAGATCATCAGATCAGTAAGATGCATAAGCCAAATGACCAGGCTCAAAAATAGACTCAAACCAAACAACGCTTAAACACAGAGCCTTTCACAGGCAGGTCAAAGCATGTGGTGAGAGCAAATGAAGTTGAGCTTAGTCACTGACCCCACCGAAAAATGTGTGGGCTGGAAGTCCAGCCCACCCTCATTCACGAGGGCGGGCTGGGTTGGGTGATCAAAAAGAGCTGTGGCCTGACTGTGATCACTCGTTCTTTGTGCCAAAATGGCAAACGACCGCATCGAGTCCTTAGTGATCACATCAGGACACTGCACTTGGTATAAAATAAAAGGAGACTCCATATATATATAATAAACTCGAGAGAGATATTATAATATATATAGAGCGCAAGGGAAACGATCGAGTTAGAACATGCATCATGAGAGTCAGCTGCTTATCCCAAACCTACCTAACCGTTGATATGCAACCGACTCACTTGTTCATGAACGTAAGAGAGAATCCCTCTTACTTTCTAACTGATCAGAACCCAATCCAAGAAACCGACGCGCCTGAACAGCTGCATGTGCAAAAAGATCCTTTTTGCGGACGCTGCTCAGGGCATGGGGCGAGCAGGTCACTGTCAGAGACACTGATCAGATCATCAGATCAGTAAGATGCATAAGCCAAATGACCAGGCTCAAAAATAGACTCAAACCAAACAACGCTTAAACACAGAGCCTTTCACAGGCAGGTCAAAGCATGTGGTGAGAGCAAATGAAGTTGAGCTTAGTCACTGACCCAGGCCCTCTCCTAAGTCTCAAACAGAGCCTTCGGCCAGCAGGGGTTCACTGTGATCCAGCCTGCGGCCTCGCCTATGGAAAGTTTATTTCTTGATGGCCAATCGGCTGGGTTGGCATCAGTTGAGATCCGATCGATAAAAACTCTCACTCGGAGCTGAAATGCAAGATCCCAAAATACAGATATTAATTGACAGAGATCCTCTCGGCTCGAGTAGCCTTTGATCAAGGCACCTTCAACAGCCTCGGAATCTATGAGCAATAAGATATCTGAACCACGGATCCTATCAGCAAAAGTCTCCAGGGCTAGAACAGCTGCGACCATCTCAACAGGAACAATCTGAGTCGAGCGCTCAAGCCACCGCCTCTTAACGGCTTTGGAGACAGCTGACGTGAATTGCATAGGCCGTTTCAAACGCCTATCAAAAAGAACAGCTCCTACACGATCAGGCAAACGTTCCTTCTTCCTAGGATCCGGCGTGAAACCATCTGTGAAAATCACTGCATCCACTAGTTTAGCTGAAGCTGATTCGATCGGCCTCGGCGGTCCCTCATTGACCAATTTCTTCCAGTGGGGCAAAGACTCGAGCAGAGGTTGATCTAGTTTGAACTCACTACCGATCGGGAAACGAAGGTATTGGCGCTCAGAAATGACCCTCAGAAAAGCTCGTCCAACTTTTCCCCAGAGCTGAGAAGCGCCAAACATGAGCTTACCTTTCAACTTCCCCGCCGAGCCAGGGTCTAGAATGCCTGCCTTCACGATCGCTTCAATCTCCTGGGTGATCTCTTCTCTCCGCTCAGCTTTGATCTCCAACTGCATCTGATCAAGGTTGTAAGTCACCCCTAGGATCGTGGGCTCTGTAGATAGCTGCAATTTCTTCTGATCAAACTTCGCACCTAACCAGAAATGAACATGTTCAGCTACTGCACGAGCACTTCCCGCGATCGCCAGAGGTTCAAAACCATATTTGTCGTCATAGAAGCTGAAAGCCACTAAGCCGAACAGCGAGACCAAGAACTCGTTAATGGCCGCCGATCGGCGATTGTAGTTGTATACAGCTGAGACCAAGCCAAATGAGTGACCTATCATGATGAAGAAATTGGGAGCACCAGTCTTCGGATTCTTCAAGCAAATAACAGAGAACTTCCGGTGATCAGGTCGCACCGCTACTTGCCGATAGGCTTTGCGCTCGTCGAGCACCCACCCTGCCAGCTTCACGCCAGGCTTGCTCGTTCTCAACTTGCGCAGAGCTGCGACATTCGTGTCTGTAGAAGGCAGTTGTAGCTTCTCCGAGATCCGGGTGATCTGATTGATCATGTTTGTCGTGGCGCTGTCACAACCACGAACTTTATTCTTCTGAACAACTTCGAATCTCTGAGTTGGGATCCAATCGTCGCACCCAAGAGCTTTCGTGACCTCCTCTTCAGACACAAAGGGGCCCAAGCACGATTTCTCCTCAACATCTTCGATCGATGCATCCCAAATCTTCTGAAGGTTGTCAGAGATCTGTACTGATTGAACACGTTGGATGATCTTCTTCCGAAGAACCCAGGCCCTATCCAATGCGTCTTGCACCGGGATGTCTTTCTGGGGCTTATTGTAGGGAGGCCATCGACCAGAGCGAGCGATCTCACCAACGATCGGAAAACCGTGCAAGAGAAAAGAGGGCAATGACTGATCCACCGAGCCGCACGCCATGAGCATAGCCTCGTACAATGCGACGTGGCAAACTTGACCAAGGCGCGGCACGGAAAGGTCGTCAGTGCCAAGGAGCAGACGCCGCAGATGGGGATCGGGCAGCGCCCGGATCGCCGCCACTGAGTGGGGCAATAAAGCCACTGCCTGAGCATGCCAAAATTGTAGCAACCGCGCCCGCTCAGCCATGATCACCTCAGACGGGCGCCGAAGTTGGAGGACGGCTACTTCTTCCATCGCTGCCAGAGGAGCCTCGATGGTGAAAGGGTGGATCACGTTCAAGGCCGCCTCGATCGCTTGGCCAGGTTCCATCTCCACATGCAACAAAGGCTTGGCCGCACCCCGCTTCAGCTGATAACCCGCCCAGAGCGCTTTGAGAGCCGACTCCTCCTGCTTGTGTCCGAGCCACGGTTTGCAGGAGCCCACTTCGCGTTTGCGATCCGCAGGGGGCGTGGTCAGCTGCAGCAAAGGTTGTAGAGCATGAAGAGGGTCTTGCCATAGATCGTGAGCAACGCTGGCGAACGCCGCACACAAAGCCCAAGGATAGACCTGCGCAGCCTTGGTCTTGAACACCAGTTTGCCCTGAAGGGGGTCGAACACTTTGCCTCTCAAAGACTCGTGCACGTGCCCTCCTGGACAAAGTACCTGGAGCACCTCGAAATGTTCAGCTGAGCACAACAAACGTGTGGGCTTCTTGGACGGAGCCCCAAAGGCACATTGATCAAAATCAACAGCCAGAGCTCGTGTGTCGTGGACGAGCTGGTCCATCATTGTCGTAGCTCACATGAGGCTCAACAGGGGGTTTTCGATCGTGAAATTCCCTCCAAGATTAAAAACAAGAGTACAAGCTTCGCACGTTCGGATCAAAAACAGATTACCCATAAAAACAAGAGCTTGGTTTTGCCAACTGAGTCCTGGAAGACCAAGAGGAGCATCGCGAGAGCGCAGTGGAGGAGGTCCTCCATCATCTTTGCGAGCTGCAGTGAAGGTGTTGCACGGGGTGCCACAATGGAGCAAGAAGACCAGCCTGGCAGCAATGATAGCAATGATTGCCATGATAGTCTCCCACACTGCCAGATCCAACACATCGGCTGCTTCGCTGACCAGATCAGAGACAACCACATCCACTGGCGGCAGCGCAGGCACACCCATCAGCTGAACAGCCTCTGTGATGCCTGCTTGGCCAGCAAAAATTTCCAGGAAAAATGGGCCATGCGAGCGCAAAATGGTGAAATCTTCGGTCAACTGGGACCAACCAGGCACAGTGAACGGCTCAGAATCAGCCGTTTTCCGACCGGACGGCGCAGATGCCGACAAGCCATCATAACACACTGTGGCTGGACAGCTCCATTGACCGGGGGGCGCTTCCAGTGAGGCCCCCTCAAAGTTGGGCCGAGCTCAGTGGTTGCCGTGCCACGGGTGATCTTTACCACATTCCACACAGCTGTGCTTCTGGCGGCAGTGATCACCAAAGCGGCAACCCAGTGAGCAGTTGAAGAAAGGGCATCGCTTGGCTCCTTGATACTTGAACGAAGTAATCTTCTGCCATTCGTGGGCCGGGACCCGTTCATCTCGAGCGGGTTTCTTGGCCTGATCCGACTTGGGAGGTGGCGTTGAGGCGTGACCAACCTTAGCTTTCTTGAGCAAGGCCTTCTGGCGTTCACGACGAGCCCTGTTCTTTCGAGCTTTGGGTGAAGCCTTTGGGGCTGACTGCGAGCGAGATCTGGAGCGCTTCTTTGACGGTGCAGATGGCGCCGTAGTCTGCAGCACCTGCTTGAACTTGTCCAACTCTGCGCTTGATCGAGCGTCATTCCACAGCTGTTTGTGGTTGGTCAAGACCTCAAGCAAGGCGGCAGAGAACGTGCCAAATGTCTTGCGCTGATCAGAGCTCACTCGATGAACTTTCTTGCGGATCAACGCATCAGCCGCCAAGAGCAAGGCCAGGCCACGGTTCTCATGGCGCCACTCCTCCAGATCAGACAAGTATTTCAGGGGCCCGGCTGCCACGGAGAACTCACAGATGTTCAAGTATTCTAAGGTAATGAAGAACGCATATGTAACATTCATGGCATCTGGGTTGCTATTCATGGCATCTGGGTTGCAAAATTCACTACATTGGCTGCTGGCAGGAACAGTACTTGGCAGGAACAGAACTTCTCAAGTTGGTGGCAGGGCACTGCTACTTGGCAGCAACAGGACTTGGCTCAAGTTGGTGGCAGGCACAGTACTTGGCAGGAACAGAACTTCTCAAGTTGGTGGCAGGGCAATGCTACTTGGCAGCAACAGGACTTGGCTCAAGTTGGTGGCAGGCACAGTACTTGGCAGGAACATGACTTGGCTCATGTTGGTGGCAGGCACAATACTCTGTTGGTGAAAGGCTACACAGCTGGGTTCAAGTAAGGAGTCTTTTTTGTTTTAGAAAAAACTTCAGTTGCATTTTGCAGTTTTGAAATTTACAACTTTTCACAACAAATCTATCATAAGATTTGTTCCTGTCAATCTATCAGCTTCAGAGTTTCACAATCAAAGAATCAATGTCAAAATCAATGTCAAAATCAATGCAGAATCAACATGTCAAAATCATAACAGTGTCAAAATCAATGCACAATCAACATGTGAAAATCAAAAGTCAAACCCAAACTAGACCTCTATAGTCCCATCCCCAGACTTATAATTAATATAGGTTTTCTATCCGAACATTGCAGTAAAAAAACACATATATATATACATATATAATATATCTATATATACAAATTCATTGAGTTTGGGTTTGACTTAGCTCATTTCAAACACAAAGCCGTAGATTTTGAATCAGAACTTCTTTGTTTGTCTTCATGTTTGTTTGTTTTCATGTTCTGTGTTTGACCGTTGCTGTGCACAAGAAGCGCGGGGCTCAGGAACATGACTGTTTGACTTTGTTATGTTTTATCTTCAGGACTGTGGTATACTGTTTTGTTTTATTTGTTGCATGACGTTTTATTTGTTGCATGTGCGGCCAAGGTTGTGGAATGCTGTCGCTCAGGAGTAGTTATCAATCCTTTCAGCTTTTTTTTTGCAGTGATTTGCTCAACCTGTAGGCATGCAGTAGGGATATCAGACTGCATTCTGTTGTCAGGATGTGGACGTGGTGGCTCGGGGCTCAAACTCACAATCTTTTTCTTTCAGATTCACCTCAAACTCAGATCAAATTCAACTTCAATTCAGACTCAATTCAATTCACAATCTTTTCAAATTCACAATCATTTCAAATTCAAATTCATTTCAAATTCAATTCACAATCATTTCAAATTCAATTCAGATTTCAAATCACATTCACGTCAAAAGACTCCCAGTTCAGAATCAACTTCATGTCAAGTTTACGGTGCACCCAAGGTCAGAACCTGTTGGCTGGAGAATGCGCTCTACTTTCTCAAGGCCAGATTGGGGTCTTGTTTCATCTTAGCAATTTCACGCATGTTCAGATTTGGTATTTCAGATTCATCTGCAGGCGATGAGGCTCAATTTTTGGATGTCGGAAAGTAGAGTGAGGCAACTTGAAACATGCCAACATCCAAAGTAGAAAACTTGGCATTAATATTCAATTTGACTAATCTATACTCTACTTTTTCCATCTTTTTTCATCTGACGAATGAGCCATGCACACAGCATTGCGCTGACCCTGCTGCCGAGCCATCTGCATTCCTTGGCTTTGGTCTTCAACCGCCGTGGCCAGCAGACTTTGTATCTTTTGTGGCTGTGCTGCAGTTAATTGCTTGCCTTTCTGTTGCAAAACCAGAATTTTCAATTTCATTTTGAACACAAGTGTGGGCCCAGGTGGCAATTGGATCCAGACCTTACTTCGAAGCTGTGGCTTTCTGACATTTGAGGAATTGTTTATCATTTCTTACTTCTTTTTTTTCATAGTAGGTAACCCAAAATGATTTTCATTCATATCTTTGGAGAATGCCCTGTGAAGCTGAGGAAATCTGAACTTGATACTGGTCGCATCTATGATCCCAACGGATGGATCCACTGGAAGTATTGCAGCGTGGCCAAAGAAGGTTTCAATCCTGGTGTTCGGCCTGAAGCCGAGAAGGGAGCCGGTGGCAGACACTTGGGGATTGTTTCATTTTCTTGGTGTAAACTTTTGGGAGATGATTGGATTGGTTGTTTTTTTTCCAATTAAACTTGTAGATGGGATTGAACTGATTTCAAGCATTGTTCTGAGGTCAAGTGCACTCTGCCAAGCGGCAGCGTACTGGCTGACCCGGAGGAGATTGCTTTGGAGCTCCCGGGCTTCAGGGTGCAAAACCACAATCTGCAGTGGTTGCTGAAGTGCCTTGGAATGATTTTGTTACCATGTTTCTGTGTCCCAAGAAGCCCCAAGAAATTGAGTGCGAACTAGATTTTGATGTTGATTTTGATTATGATTGTGATGTGATTTTGCCTGTCTGCAGGAGTTCTCACTATGATGAAGCTGCCAACAGGAACGTGATGCGGAACCCTGGTCTTCACAAGGATGTATCATGGGGCGTCCCTCAGGATGGCATTTTGGTTTTTTTTGGAATTCAGTGGTTTCTTCCCTGCCCCTTAAAATTGATTGGCCATTGAACAAAAGCCCATGGAATACTGAGGTTCTCAGGCACAAGATGCTGCCACGTGTCCTGCTCTACATTCTGTCTCAGCCGTGTGATCTGGTGCTTCTCAATTGCTCAGCTGGCTTCCATCGAGCCCCATGCATCGCTGCACTGCTGTTTGCAATTTTAGTTGCATCTCATCTTAATTTCATGTCGGGTGTATGTGTTGTTCTTTGAGTTGGTGTCAATTTGGGAAAATATTTTTTCAACTCCTTCGATGCGGTTTAAGGCAAGTAATGTGGAAGTTGTCGTCATGATTACCAGCCTGAGCAGATCGTGGAACACGGACTTGAGAACTTTGTATGCGTACTTGCTGCAAGGTTCACTGGACCAGTTCCTGGCATGGCACTATCACCGACTTTTCTTTTCTCCGGAAGCTTTCTATTTGTCACAATTGATTTTTTTTGTCATGGGTTGGGTGTCAAAAGCAACTGTAGCTGAGGCCTACTGCCATGTCATCCATCATGCAAAACAAGTGGTTTTGCAAGTCCAAGGAGCAGTTCACACGGATTGCTTGTGGGATTCACGCTGACTTCAGCAAGGTTTGCCCTCAGGCTGCTTCATGGAAGCTTGGACAGTGCCAAGTGCATCTGTTTTTTTTTCCAAGCTAGTTTCTACATGCCACAAAATCCCACAGACTTCCCTTTTAATCATGTATAAAAATTTCACCAGAACCTCTCACTCAGGAAAGTGAGGATCTTTGAAGAACCTGATGCTGATGATGGTGTTCCGCCGGATGGTGTTCTTCCTGATGGTGTTCCTGCTGTGGATGGCTCTACTGCTGTGGATGATGGAGCCTCATCATCTGCACCACCACCACCACCGCCTCCAGGGCCCATGCCACCGAATCATCCTCCTCCACAAGGTGATGCAGTCATGCCACCACCTCCAGGGCCCATGCCACCGAATCATCCTCCTCCACAAGGTGATGCAGTCATGCCACTGGGACAAGATTTTTTTATTGTTTAAAGGATTGCCCTTCTTTGCAGGCCTTTGTGTCTTTACTGCTTCATCAAAAGAGGTTGGAAGTGATGACCGATGCTGGCATTGCAGTCAATGTGCAAAAGATGATTTTGAACCTCAAGCCTCTGCATCAGCACTTTATGATGATCCTTTGGCTTTACTTGATTTTTTTTAGCAGCACCTTTTTTGGAACATGTTTTTATTGGATGGTGATGGAACATATCCCATTTTGGTGTATTTGATGCCAGTCCCTCTGAGGAGGCATGTGCTGCATTACATGTGGGCTCCTCACGAGTTCAAGAGACTCATGGCTTGCCAAATAACATAGTTTTGATTTGTTTCCAGCAAATGTTTGGGTGGATCTTCAATATGTTTTTTTGATTTGGAAGGATTTTCGAACTCAGGTATCGATGGGTTCTTGATCCGCTGCATGAACAAGTTAGGGTGACTTTGCCGAATATATGGCATTCCGACCTCGGCTGCAGTGGAAAAAAGAAATCAATTCACAATCATTCAATCATCAGATTCAGTCGACTCAGGGGTCGAAGAAATTCACAATCATGGGTCGAAGATTCAGTCGACCCAGCAGATTCAGCAAATTCAGCAGATTCAGCAGAAGAATCAATTTCAGAGTTATCATCTATTCTTGGAATCAATTACTGTTTCCTGGCAGGTCTTCGACTTCAGGTGCACTCAGGCTGGGGTTTGTCTTCTACTTGTCTTATACTTAGAATTTTTAATTCAAAATCATTCACATCCAAAATCACAAAGATTTCCATTGACACATTTACACAGAGAGTTTAGGGTTTAGGGTTGAAGATGGCTGCTTCAGGCTTCAGGGTCGGCCCTATGTAGCATTCCCCAAACCCTGGGTGTACTTTGTCCTATAACCCTAAACCCTAAACCCTAGACCCTAAACCCTTATACATTATAACCTCCAAAAATGGATGTACCCCAACTTCAAGATCAAGAACTTCGATGTACCCCAGCCTCAAGATCAAGAATTTCGATGTACCCCAACCTCAAGATCAAAAATTTCGATGTACCCCAACCTCAAGATCACGAATTTCGATGTACCCCAACCTCAAGATCAAAAATTTCGATGTACTCCAACCTCAAGATCAAAAATTTCGATGTACCCCAACCTCAAGATCAAAAATTTCGATGTACCCCAACCTCAAGATCAAGAATTTCGATGTACCCCAACCTCAAGATCAAAAATTTCGATGTACCCCAACCTCAAGATCAAGAATTTCGATGTACCCCAACCTCAAGATCAAAAAAATCGATGTACCCTATGTTGAAAATCAGAAATTTCGATGTAGCCGCTGGGAAGGGCTACATTGATTTTTGACATTTCGATGTAGCCGCTGGGCATGGGTACATTGATTTTGCAGGGATCAAGGATCTGGATTCTGAGCCACTGAGCTTCCCCAAAAGACATAAGGAAAATATGTTTTGGATGTCAACTCAAACGGGCCTGGACAGGGTACATTGATTTTTTTTCGTTTTTTCGTTTTGAAATCAATGTAGCCCTGGGGCAGGGCTACATTGAAAACTCCACAGCGTAGGGTTTGGGAATTGATATCAAATCTTAATGTCCGTTTTCATTTCAATGTCCAGGTCATCCGTCAGGGAAAGGTCAATGTATCCCTGGGGCTGGGCTACATTGATTTCAAAACGAAATTTTGAAAAAATATCCATGTAGCCCATTCAGGATCATTTGAATCGTATGATTTTTTATGTGACCACTCGTGGTTGGTGTCTCACCCCTGAAGCCAGGGCTTTGCAGCCGTGGATCCAAAAGGTGAAAAAGAATGAGAAGGAGGAGACAAAAGGGCCGCCCCAGAAGATGCTTTGCACTCCATACGAGAAGCAGCTGAAGAAGATGCCAGGTGATCTTACTATGCTCAAGGACATTTCAGTTTGATGAAGTGTAAAATATTTTTCAATTAACTTGGCCACCCCACAAAAGGCCCCCGCAAGTCCATCAAGGATGTGTTTTTGGCCTCATGTTTGAGATTCCTCATGGACTGGCGGAGCCACTCCAAAGTGCTTCGCGTTTTTGTTGTTGAGTTTGCTGGATGGGTTCCCTTGCAAAAGCAACTTAAAACATACACATGTTTTAGATAGTTTGGTTAGTGCTGCATTTGATGTCAGGAGGTGCTCCATTCGATGCAGCTGCTGAAAGCTGACGCTGCAGTGTTTGAGGGTGAGTTGCATCCAGGTGATGCTGTGTTCACGGCCTTGTCTGGAAGCAATCATGAGGTTTCAGTGGCCAACGCAATGGCTTTGCAATCCTGGTTCCAAGAATATGCTCAGATGCGTGCTTCAAAGGGTCGTCAAGTTGCCTTCAAAGAAATCAGCAGTTTTGCGACTGTGATCATATTCAGAATCTTTGATGTATGTGATATTGTTGTTCACTTCTTTTCAAGGTAGAGCATTGACAGACTCCCAGACTCCAAGTCCAGCGACAACAGCTTAAGGCCATTGATGCGGAGATGGATGGCGATGTGGTCAAGATTCCCATAATCGCTCTGGTGTGCCTCGCTTGCATGGCTCAAGTAGTAAATTGCTGTTGTTGGGAAAACAAATTAACACTGAATGCTCTTAAATATTGGCAGTCATTCAAGTTTGCCCAGCAGGGCTAATCTTTTTGGTGCTCCAAACAAGTTTTCTATGAGCAAAACCAAGTGGAAAGTTGCCAGCTGGCAGTTAAGGCAGAGCCTTCCGACCGATGGGCTGCCGGTCCTTGAAGACTGGCTGACAGTCTGGGAACAGATGGTGTTTGCTGGAGTCGACTTGGCTCGTGAACCTGTGGATGTATCAGATCCAATCTTAGAGCAGCTTCAAATGAACGTGTTCAATGTACTTAGATTTCAAATCAAAACTCATTTTGTGACAAGGTCCAAGTGACCCCAGGACTGAATGCTGCTTCAAGCCGTCACTTGCCAGTATGTTGACTCATGCTTGTTGACTCAACATTTACTCCAAATGTCTTGGCAAATACCTGTCAGAGGACAGAAAATGGAAGTCAAACCCTTGAGCATCGACATTGTGAAGGGCTTACTGAAGGACCCAAAGTTCAAGAAAGGAGATTTGAAATATTTGAAAAATTTGAGAAAGAAAGATTTGAGCCCCAACAGCCAGGAGATGTTGAAGAAAGTTCGCAAAGCTCGGAATGTTCAGAATTGGACCGCTTGGCGCAACAAGTATGCCTCAAAGGGTGTGCCCAAATCTTGGGGCGCTGATGGAGCTGCAGGTTCAAGCTCAGTTGGAGAGCCAGTTCATGCAGAGCCAGTTCCTGCAGACCCGTACCAGCCGCTCACCCTCAAGGATGCCAGGGCCACTTGGTTGCAGTACCCTTTTTGAAATGCAACAAGTTGCATGTTTTCATTGTGAATTACTTTTTGTATGGTGAATTTCCTCCAGGAAAAGTTCATGAAAGACTTCCTGAAGGAGAATAAGGAGGGGACCGTTCAAGAGAAGTTCAAGGCAGGCAACAAAGCCTGGATGGAGAGTGAAATCAGGGCTCGTATCATGGCAGCCAAAGCGGGCATCGGATCTGTAGCCCCTTGAGTCGGAGCGAACACTTGTGCCGAGAGAGGGAAAAAAGACTGTTTCAAGCTGTGCTCTGTTTTAATTCTTCTAGTTTCAAGTCTATTCGACTGTTTCCGCATGTCAGGACATAAACTTCATCAGGCCGTTCGGTGTGACTGTGGCTGAGTTGATTGATTTGTTGTGTTGTGAACTTTTCAAACAATTAATTTCTAGTTATTTGGGAGAACGTTTGTGAACATAGCCTGCAATTGGTCTTTGATTTGAGGCTTGGTTAGCTGTTTGATCCTTGCAAGTGGTTAGTGCCAGCACCCAGGATCCTCTTCTGGAGCCAGTGTCCAAACCTCATCCAGAATCTCGAATCTGCTGTCAAAGTCAAGGGCTATATTATATCAGATTCAAACCAGATCAGGTCCCATCACAATCAGTATCAATCCCAATTCACTTTCAAACACCAAGATCAAATAAAATCATATCACAATCAAGGGAATTTTGAGCCACAATCAATGCAAAATCATTTGAAACATGTTCAAAACCACAGCCAATTCCATCTTGAGAAATGAATGCTTTCCTGCCAGCCCACACCGCCCAGGGTATTGGTCAGGTGCTTCGCCCAAGACTCAATGAATTTGACTTTGACTTGGATCAGTGTGATTTTAGATTTTTGAGTCACTAAAACTTGTTTGCCTGTTGTTGTTTCACTCAGGTGGGTCCAAACGAGAAAGCCGCGGTCAAGGTTGGAAAGTCTTGGCCAACTGGCAACCGAAAGATGAAGTTCTTTTGGTCTTTTTGTGGTCCATAAATTAAAAGAGAGGAAACTCTTTGTAGGATCTCGTGGGCGAACCGTTTTGCTACTTTAGCCGATGTTTGTGCAGACAAAAATATTTCGGAAACGTGTTTGTTGAAGTTGGTTTGATCCATTGACTGCAGCCATCTTGATCTGACCGGAGGCTCTTTTCAGCAAGCTTGCCCATTCAGCTCTGTCCCTGACTCAAAGACCTAAGATTCTTTTTGGCAAACTTGCTGAGCTCAAGTGGCAAGCAGTTTGATGATCAATGCACCTAGATGCCACTTGTACGAACCAATGAGGTGATGACTTTTGGTCAATTTTGTCAACGACCCAGTGCTCTGTGGTGTCAGATTGCATTTGTTGCTCTTGGTTTCAAGTTGGCTTCAGACTGATATCACTGTAAACTGTTGTCGTCAAAGCTTCAACATCATTCAAAGTCAATCAAAGCCATTTTGGCTTCAAATTAGTTGGTGCTTCTCAATCCCGATGTCTGGACCACCGGATACCTCCTCGGACTTTCTGATTCCAGAGGAGCGTAGTTTTCTGCTTCCAGAGGAGCCATTGCCACCTCCAGAGGAGGGTTGTTTTCCAGAGGAGCCATTGCCAGAGGAGCGTTTTCTGCTTCCAGAGGAGCCATTGCCACCTCCAGTGCAGCCAGTGGAAAACTTGCCACCTCCAGTGCAGCCAGTAGAAAACTTGCCACTTCGAGTACAGCCAGAGTTGCCACTGACAAACTTGCCACCTCTAGATTCAGAGTGGCCGCCATTGGATTCCGATTCAGATTGTGATGCAGAAACCAGTGACAGCCTTGTGGTACACTGCTCTGATTCGGACGTCTTTGAGCGCTTGACCTGGGTCCATCATCAAGGTGATTGGAGATGTGTGATGACCAAGCATGTTCAAGAGATCGCAATGAACCTGGATTTGCATGAGACTATGGATTGGTTGGAATATTGAAGTTCCAGTTCCATTTCCAGGAATGCTTTGCGGCATAACTGACGTAGATCTTATGGCCTGACTTATGGCCTGGAATGAAATGGCCTGACTTATGGCCTGGAATGCAATGGCCTGACTTATGGCCTGGAATGAAATGGCCTGACCTAAGGAATGCAAAGACTTTCTCAACAAAGATGCGCCACGCAGTAAAAACTCTTTGCTTTTTGCAGCACTTGGCTTCCAATGATGTCAGCTTGCAGTGGTGTCATCAGCAGTTTCTGACGCATGACTCAAAAACGCATTTGTGTTTGCGCTTGCTAAGGTGTGGCAAACTTTGATTGGCCCTGGCCAGCAATGATTCTGACCACAGACTGTGAAAGTCTGACTTGTGGTTTTGATATGTTGTGATTCAAACTCATTGTGTTTCTGATATGTGTGGATTCAAAGCCATTGTTTTGATTCAAAGTTTCAAACTCAAACTCAATGTTTTGGATGTTGACTGAGTGCGGATTCTAATGATCTGAGTCTGATTTTGCTGAGTCTGATGTTGAATGAGCTAAGTCAAACCCAAGCTCAATGAAGTTATATATATATGTGTATATTTTTCCTGCAATGTTCGGATAAAAAACTATATTAATTATAAATCTGGGGATGGGACTGTAGAGGTCTAGTTTGGGTTTGACTTTTGATTTTCACATGTTGATTGTGCATTGATTTTGACATTGTTATGATTTTGACATGTTGGTTGTGCATTGATTTTGACATTGTTATGATTTTAATATGTTGATTGTGCATTGATTTTGACATTTGACATTGCTATGATTTTGACATGTTGATTGTGCATTGATTTTGACATTGATTTTGACATTGCTTCTTTGATTGTGAAATTCTGAAGCGGATAGGCTGACAGGAACAAATCTTATGATAGATTTGTTGTGAAAAATGTTTCAAAACTGCAAAATGCAACTGAACTTTTTTCTAAAACAAAAAAGGCTCCTTACTTGAACCCAGCTGTGTAGCCTTTCACCAACAGAGTATTGTGCCTGCCACCAACATGAGCCAAGTCACGTTCCTGCCAAGTACTGTGCCTGCCACCAACTTGAGCCAAGTCCTGTTGCTGCCAAGTAGCAGTGCCCTGCCACCAACATGAGCCAAGTCATGTTCCTGCCAAGTACTGTGCCTGCCACCAACTTGAGCCAAGTCCTGTTGCTGCCAAGTAGCAGTGCCCTGCCACCAACTTGAGAAGTTCTGTTCCTGCCAAGTACTGTTCCTGCCACCAACTTGAGCCAAGCCCTGCTGCTGCCAAGTAGCAGTGCCCTGCCACCAACTTGAGAAGTTCTGTTCCTGCCAAGTACTGTTCCTGCCAGCAGCCAATGTAGTGAATTTTGCAACCCAGATGCCATGAATAGCAACCCAGATGCCATGAATGCTACATGCATGCAGTTTGTCCATCACCTGAGATTCTGAACTAGCCGCACTAGGCTGATCTACCATCACCACACGCAAGAGATCCTCTGCATTTTTGGAGAGCCCAGATTTCTGAGCGATCTGCTCATTCCTGGTGCGGATCTCGCCGACTTCGTAGAAATGAACAAAGCCGTGCACCAAGTAGTCTCGTTGAACACGTTCGACAAACTTCCGATGAGGCTCTCGATGCATGGGCAAGAGCACGTCAGGGTGACGAGCCACGAACGTGTCACGAAACTCAGCATGATCTTCGCCTGGAATCTCTGGGACCTTGCTGGGGTCTTCTTCCATTTTGGCTCGCCGAGCTGCGAAGTGATCTTGCATGGTGGAGCACTGCTTCCAGACGGCCGCCAGAGCTGTAAGAGCAAGCTCCTGCGCCGGCGCATCATCGCCGAAACGAGCAGAATCTGGTATGATCGTTTTCAAGGTCTGCTTGACCGTTGTGATCATGTCCCCCAGCATGGCGAACGTTTCCACGCTGCGGAGACCCACATCAGCCACGAGCCGGCACAAGTCTTCCGGAACTCGTTGCCGACCAAAGATCTGCCGCAATGGGAGCTCCGGCAACTTGTCCGGGGTGTACACGGTGCGATCCACCATGATTAATTGTGTAATAGCTTAGAGCCAAACTGAGATTATCATCGGAAAATGCAAATTGAAAATCATTGACAAAACAAATAAATCACCTTCCAAAAGCAAAATTGCAGCTGAGACTCATGCCCGAACACTTCCGCTCTGAGCAGAGAAGCATCGTGAAGCCACATCTGGTCGAGCTTTGGCACACTGCTTGCAGAGCACGGAAGGATCTGGCAGGGCGGCCCCAACGGCAGTGCAGTCACGGACGGCGAGCTTGCCACATGCGACCATCTCATCGTCCTCCTCTTTCGAGCAGTGATATCGATAGTCACGGGAGGCACGAGCGCCTTCCGTCTTGACGTAGAACTGCACCTCATTGAGAGCCGTCTCATCTACGGAGTCGAGCACGACATCCTCTTCAGCCTCGAACGGGTGCTCATTGTCAACCATGTCTTTGACCAGCTGTTGAACCATCTGAGCTGGTACGCTGGTCCGGTTCCTGGTGTATTTCAACACTAGAGGACCCGGATTTTTCCAGTTCGCTTGCAGTCCGATCTCCTCCGTCGATCGACGAGCATGTACTGCAGCGTCCAACATGGTGACCCGAGCTGAGTGGGCTGTGACCTTGAGCAACCCGTCCACGGCCTCATTGAGCTTACCCTCAGGCCCACTAAAGTAGGTCTTGATGGCGAGCTTGCCAATGAAACGCAGCCACTGAATGGAACGTTGATATTGAGCTGGTGCAGACCTGAACTCCGTCTGGGTGTTCAAGTCTCTCATCCAGAAGTCACGATCCAAATCTTCGAGCTGCAAAAGGTCCCAGCCAACGTCAAGCCAGGCTGAATCACGAAAGCCAACTCTCGGCACTACGAACTTCGTGCCACGGCGTTTGCGCTCGACTTTCGTCTGCCAAGCGACGCCAAAGAGCCCTTCGTCTTTCATGATCAACTCAGTTGGCCTGACATGCATGGCATCGTCGAACCTCAGCGATGCGAAGACCATGCAGAGCCACCACCATGCAAAGAGCCTAGCTGCCTCTGGCTGCTGCACGTCTGTGACGAACTGCTCCAGACTTCCGACCGCCACGATCGGGATGGGCTGGGCTTCTTTCAATGTGGTGGCCCTTTTCTGAATGACGTCCGACTGAACCGCCAAGAGAGCGGGATGGGACAAATCAGGGCAGTCGATCGCCAGTTTAGATGTTACCCACTTAATTGACATCCTAAAAGAAGGCAAAACTGTGGGACCACATTCTTTCTCGTCAAGAGCTAGAGCATACTTCAGAATCAAATCAGAAGGCCAAGGAAAAACGGGGATCCCAACACTATTGGCCCACTCCTCGAACCGCTCCCATGCGGAGATGTGGGCCGACATAGTCCGTGGAGCCCCCGATGCCAACACTAATTGGCGTAGCCGAGCGGTCTCACCCGGCGAGAGCCCTTCGCTGTTGGTGGTATCCAGCAAGAGCTTGGAGTGTTGACCCGCCCGTTTCCCTATGGCCTCCAGTTTAGAAGCCCACTTCCACCGAGCGGCATTCTCCTGGTCCAACAGCGGTGTGGACGACGGATCCGAATCAGACTTCTTGAGCAGTTTCCTGGGCGGTTGAGCCGGCTTGTGCAACAGAGCTTTGATGGCATTAGCCCTACGAGCACTAGCGGTCTCGGCACTCAACGCCAAAGTAGTCGGATCGCACTGCCCGAAACCCAGCTGATTTGCAGAGGATTCGAAAAATGCCTTCTCGATCGAAGTAGCTAGACTCCAAAACTGTTCCAGCATAAAACTGTTGCTGAGCAAAACATCACGAACGGTCTCCTCTAGGGATGCTGACCAGTCGCGCACCTTCACGGTGAACTCCGGGCCCGATCGCACCTCCATCGCTGACACCAGCGCCAAGTTGGCATAAGGTGAAGCCAACAGCGCCTGAGCGAAGGCATCAGAGAAAATTGGAAGACACAAAATCTTAGATGTCCAGCGATCAGAACTTTGAGCCATGACTTCCCTGTGAACCCCCACACAACATGAACAGTGCACACATGAGAGTGTCAAGTCGGTTAAGAGAGCAATCATTGCACCTCGAACCTTAACGCCTCAAAAGCATGAACATGCAAACATGTGTGAACTACTGCATGAGGTGGTGTCACAGGCGTGGCGTCAAAGAGCAATTAAAATCAAATGAACGAAATACATCAACTTGTATCATGCATAAATCGTGACCAAAATCATAAATGCAAAAGCTTGACAGCTTTATGTGGTCGATCGACCAGACAGAGAAAGATGACTGACCAGAGCTATGGAGATCATACCCCATATCGGAACAGTCGCTCTAACATCACGTCCGGTCTGAGATCCCACAGCCGAGCAAACTGGGGCCCTCGCCTGGGCCAAGTGGAAAATATGGGAGCCGTCCCCATGAACGAGCTGGATGTGATCAAATCCCACCCGTTCACAATTGTGGGGTCTCACAGAGCAAACACCTCAGAAATTAGGTCCCTAGGAAACCCATTGACCCAAGTTAAACCAAACCAAAACGGGGAAAAACCAGGGTGAACAACGGGAAAACAAGAGACCTAAACTGAGGGTGTTTGCACAGCTCTCGCAGCAGCTAATGATTTTTCAGAGCATTCGGCCAGCGATCGTGCTGCGGCCTGATACATTCCGCCACCTTGCAAACTCGGTGAATTTCAAACTTCTTGATCAAGGTCAGGTCTCCGTCACTTCTTCAACGGTCGGAGCCGGTCCAAAACTGACTGGGCGTCCCGGGACCGCCTGATACACCTGATTAAGAAAAGTTTGTGGCGTCACGGCTGCCACTGAGATCCTCTCTTGTTGGCGAGCTTCAAGCGATCGCCTTTGCACATGTACCGAGCCTCCCATGGCTCCCGAGGCTGGGGCTTGACCCGGCTCAGTCATGGAGACTTCGGCTTGAACATTGGGCGCCACAACCAGTGCAGGAGCCGACGGTCCAGCCAATGCTTGCAGAGGGGCCGCAACTGATGATCTTGGCACCACTGATGGCCCACCCGTCACTGGCGGGAGCACGATCGTCTCCTGTTCCAGAGCCACATTGTGCGCCTGCAGAGCCAGTGCATCGGTTGGCACCAACGACTTCGCTGCCCTGAACAAGGGAGACTCACAGGTGAGGTGATAGTTGGCCGGGCGAGAATCCACCGCGACCGCACTCACCCTCGGACCCGTGTCATCAACGGACTCTGCTTCGATCGATGCAGTCCAGTGTGCATGGATCCCGGCTAGCTGTGACAATTGCATGGTCTGATCAGGGCCTTCCACCCTTGCATGATGCTCACGACACCAACGAGCATTCTTGATCAAGGTGGGCCCAGACACACGCGACACAACCAGCCAAGTTGATGGAACCACCACCTGAGAACATGCAACGTCCAGCTGATCACCGGATGACCTGAATCGGAACTCTAAGCGGTCTGCATCCATCCCGATCGAGTCCGTGGAAGAGAGCGCAGTGAGCCGGACTTCAAAGTGGCACAAAGGAAAGTCCAGGGCCACGACCGTCCCACCATCACTGCAGGCGTACAGACGCCCTCCCACCTCGAACGAGGTTGCCACCACCCTCCATCCGTGGAACACCGTGACGATGCAGGACGGCACAAAAAGGCAGTCCCTAAGGTTCGCCATGAGAGCATCATTGACGTAGTTCATCTGAACCGTCATGTCAGTGTTCGATCGGTAGCCGCGCAGCTCAAGGTGTAGAAGAAGACCTCCTTCAACCTTGACTTTCACATCGACCCAGGTTGCAGATTCGTCAGTCATCATCGGCCAACGAAAAGGTTGAAAGGCCGGGTGGGCCATGATCTTCCCCGTGTCTGCATCCCAGCGAGCTGCTGGCACCGTCCCGTAAGACGTCATTGATCCTACCAAGATGAACTTGAACCCGTCCATCGTCCTCACATAGAACAAGTTGAGGTGGTAGCCCTTGTTTGGCGATCTGACAAGTTGTCGATCGACCAGGACGTTCACTCCAGACTGGGCGTTCAGCAAGATCTCGTCCAGCAGCCATCCCTGGTAGGGGGACTGAATGCGCCGATCGCGGCTATCAATCACAAGCACTGATCGTTCATCTTGGCCAGCACCCAACTGCCTGATGAACGTTGGGAGCTGGAAATTCTGAGCATCAAGGCCAGGCATCTGTCCCCACCTAACTGCACGATGACCACGCCTCTTTGCCTGAGCTTTCTGCTTTGCCAGGCGAGCTGCCTGCTTCTGAGCGCTTCCAAGCAAATCACGTGCTGCCTGAGTAGCTGGAGCAGCAGCACTCTGAGCAGGGGCTTGAGCAGGGTCAGTGAAAAAGAGAGCCGCATCAGCAGGTGGGAAGGGTGCACTTCCGCTTGAGCTTGACACACGACTCTTGGGTTGATCCTGTCCTTGGGCTGCATAGCCAGGAGCCGGCTCACCTTGGTGTCTGAACCCGGGCGGTGGTGCCTTAGGCTCAGGGAACTGCATTGGCACTTCCTGAACAGGCTCCACATTGCGCTGTTCATCCACGACCACACTCCAGGACACCTGTGAGGCACTGTCCTCAGGTGCAAGGTGATCACCTCCAACACTGGCTCGAGCAGCTGCCATGGCTCTCTGACGTTCCAATGGAGCCGGGCTACAAGGAGGAAAAGACATACTTAAGTGATCCAGTCCCAGGCCCTAAAAACAGCGATCCTCTTAGATCAAAAAGAGCTGTGGCCTGACTGTGATCACTCGTTCTTTGTGCCAAAATGGCAAACGACCGCATCGAGTCCTTAGTGATCACATCAGGACACTGCACTTGGTATAAAATAAAAGGAGACTCCATATATATATAATAAACTCGAGAGAGATATTATAATATATATAGAGCGCAAGGGAAACGATCGAGTTAGAACATGCATCATGAGAGTCAGCTGCTTATCCCAAACCTACCTAACCGTTGATATGCAACCTCATCTATCCATGAATTCTATTGCATTTGTATTTGCATTTGCAGTTGCATGTCGATTTGGATTTGTGTTGGTATTGTACTGTACTGTATTGTATTGTATGTGCGTATGTGTGTATGTCATGCCTATGTGTGTGTGTGCGTATTGCATGCATGCATGCATGCATGTATGTATGTAAGTAGGCCATTCATACTGCCCATATGCCGATGTCCTTGTGACATCCTGGTTGCAAAATTCAGCCGGACAGGCTGATTCTACTACACGTAAATATAAGAAATATATACATGCATATACTGTTTGTCTCTATATATATATACATATGTATATATATATATATATGTATATATATATATATATATGTATATACTATATACACGTGTGTGCTTGTACATATATATATAGGCTGTGTATATATATATACCTACAATTCAGTACAGTACAGGTACAGTACATTACATATCCCCAAGGTGAAGTAGCTTCCCCTTCAATTGCTTCCCCTTCCGGGAGATGCGTCCTGGGCGGTCCGATGGTTGGTCTTTGAAGTCATGATGATCTTGAAGTGGACTTCATAGTTCATCAGTGAGATCTGCGACGGGAACCCGGAACCAGGCACTTAAAGTGTGCTGGTCACGACTGGGCAAAAATATCCTCCTAGATGGGGATAGAATAGTGTGTGTACATATATATACACACACACGTAAAGCTGTATGCATGTATACATATGTATGTACGTATATACGTACATGTAAATGTATGTAATTATTCACCTTTATAGATAGGGTCACTTTTGGAACGACCGACTAGCAACAGTCGAGAGCAAACTTTGCCATCCAACTGTTGATCAATTCCTGCACCGACTCGTTTTAAGGCAGTTTAAGGGACATGTTAGAGGAAAAATCAGCTGTTCCCCTAAAAACGCGAACAACCCCCTTTTTGAACTCTAGTCTTGTACTGGATCTATGGACACCCCCAGATGGACCTGGGGATAATTGGAATTTGACCAACAAACAATGGGGATTTCAACATATTTAAACATATTTAAACATATTTAAACAATAAACATTGGGGAAATGATGGAATATCATACATCTATACCATATGACAATATGGATCAATATGGTTCATTTGGGTGTGTCTGAAAATGGGCTCTACCCCAACAAAAGGCGAATTTGCATAGGGAATGAATGATACAGTGACTTGACCACCCATTGCCATGGCAAGCCACTCAAACCTAACGAAATATCTTTAGCTAGCCTCCGAAAGAAAACATCAAACACATCATCATCTACTCACATCCCTACAGAAACATCAAAAGAGTGTGCAACATGTTGATCCCGGATGAATAAACCCCTTGGCTGTGCTGGCAAAACTAGCACACGATGAAAAACTGCTGGGACAACCCCCTGAATCGATCGATCAGTCAGTCAATCTCATCAATCCAATCAATCCAATCAACAAATCAATCATTCACAGTTTGTTATATAATCCACTGTATGTATATGCATCTGTACAATGTGGGGCCCCCAAGATAGCTAAGTTGGTTTATAACTACAATAACTAGGGTTTATGGTAGTTATAACCATAGTTAGATGGGGTTATAAACCAACTTATAACTAGGGGGCCCCACATTGTACATGTTCAAATGAATATGATTCACTTCGCGAATTTTTTGGGGGTCACCAATCTTTCTTCGCAGCTACCTCCAGCTGGACAGCTTTCTTGCAGAGAAGCCATTTCACTTAGAGGCACCCATTCACACAATCAGATGCCAATCTTTCAAGAGAGGATGGTCGGATGGTACTCCAAAATGTGAACACCATTTTTTTGGTTACCCTTGAGTTTTCACTAAATTGGATATCGTAAGTCCCATTTTTCTGGTTACCCTTTATCGTAAACTATTTATTGGAGATCGTTTTTATCCAGCCTGAATATTGATCATGATCAATGGAAAGCCATGGATTCTGATAGCTATCTTAATTTAGCCAAAAGTATTGAACAACTTTTCTTAATGAATAACGATGCCCAAGTAGGGTTTAGTTTTTTTGTGTTTACCACCTTGCTACCCGAGTTCAATGCCCAGCGGACCCGGAACCCGCCTCGTTCTCCAATAATTCCCAGCTTTTCAAGTGCCTGCGCTTTCCAGAAAAAAATTGACTGGGAAATGCCTGGGAAATTCCAATGTGCGTCCGAGGCAAGTCATCTACAAATGCGGGGGATGCCGGATTTCCGGATTTTCCAGTGCCTTCTGCCTGACGGAATGCTGCTGCAGTGTAGTTTGACATGAACTGCATATCGCTGAGAAAAAGGTCTGTTTTCTTTTTTTACAGAAGCGGAAAATGGTTGGTGATTTCTTGGGTTTGGGTCAAAGATGTTGGTGCCAAAGGGAAATACAGATGCATTTTTTGTGACGGAACGTGCTTAACCAAGAAACAATGAACCAATAGATCCGAATGGCCCAGTTTCGTCCTTGTGGAGTTTTTGCTTGAAAGCATTAGAAGTTGGAGTCCGACCCATGCAAAGATGTTAAAATAAATTGCTGAAGTCAGCCAGCAAATATCAGTATCAAAGCCAATTTTGATGGCCGACATCCATGATACGGTATGAAGTGCAATTGTATACATATACATATTAAATATATATATATATTGCATTACATTACATGACATTGCATTACATTGGATTGCATTGCATGACATTACCAAAAAAAATACACTACATGGCATTTGCATTTACCCTCTGGTAAACGTTTACCAAAAACTATGGAAAGATCCACCATTTTTCTATGGGAAAAATCCACGTTTTTTCGACTGGGCCATGTTCCCTGCAGACCGGTGAGGTCTCGCAGTTCAAGGCACCCGGCCCGTCTTGGAGGTCATTTGTTCAGCTGTGGAAAATCCCTTTTGAACTGGGATGTTTGATGGGAATAGCAAGATATCCCCATTATTTCTGTACAGAATAAAAAAATCATATTCTAGAATGAGGATAGTTTATGGAACATTGCCAGCAACATCATGTTTTATAATATTTTATAATCCCCCCCGATTTGTTTCCGTGGCCCTTGAGAATCAGCGATTTTGAGAGGAATGTAGTCCTCCAACCCTTAGCTTCGGTAGTGACTGGTAGTGTCTATGTTGGTTAAGGGGGATCGGAAGTGTCATTGTCACCTTTGAGTACCAGGGGCTAGTCGGCTAGTTCAAGGCTTTTGCATGGTCTGTTTTTCTTGATCTAGACTTCCGCCTGACATGCGCATCACAGTTGGGTACACCAAAATATAAATCATAGAATTGGATGATGGGAAAATTTACAGGAAACCCCTATATTTGATGGTAAAAACCATGGTTTCCTGTAGATTTTCCCTTAAACCAATCCATTGAATAAAATATTATATCCAGGACAAAGTCAATGGGTCCATGAAACAATGGATGTGTTGCTGAGGTTGCTACCGAAAGATCATCAGTTCATGACCCAACCGACATCCATCCCCAGTGCAAGTTAGCATGTCATTATAGCTGTCATGGGATAAAATCCCATGCTTGCTGGATAACGTACATAATATCTTCATACTATGAATTATTCGTAGTTTCTGGTAGACTGGTAGTCATAAGTTGTTTGGCTATAAATAAATCCCAAACCAAATGGCCAATGCATGTGCCCCCGGGCTTTGCCAGCAAGAATCTCAGGGTTGATCATCCGTGTATCCCCATTGTTATAAATTGGGGATGTATACCCCATTTCAGACACACCCAAATACACCAGATTGTTGGTTGTATTTGGTTGTATTCCATTGTATCCCCACCGGAGTTTCTTGCGGAGATCCCGAAATTTCTCACCTTCATCTCGCAACAACCTCCCTGAAAAACGGAGTCCGGCCTCTCAATCTTTCGCTTGCCCCGCGACCTGCGTTTCGAGCCATGGAGGGTGCTCCAGGGAGGAAGGGACTATGAATAAATTGCCCGTTACCCTCTGGCAATTTAACATAGCTATTGAAAATGGACCATTTATAGCTGAATATAGCTGATTTACCTGTTAAAGATCCTGATTTTCCATAGCTATGCTAGTCTACCAGAGGGTAAGCCATGTGTACATAGGATTTACCATGCCTCCGTTTGGCGTCGCAGCGACGGTATGAAGAATGGAATATTGTTGAAGTTCTCCCTCTTTGCCCGAGCCCTACTCTATACATCTCCATAGGTCAAAATGATTTGGATGCTCTACTAAGCATGACCCATTTTCTTCGTCCATTGATACCCCAATATCTCCAATTTGACCGTATCCAAACCCAGCTGGTTTCACCGTCGCTTGCCATCATCGTCATCATCGCCATCGTACGTCTCCTATGATAGGACTTGGGATTTAACAAGGAGCGAACCCCTGGGGAACTCACAAATATCCAGCAGATTGTTTGTAAAAAAGTTGTGAGGGGGAATCGATTCAGTATATCAGATTATATACGATTGTATAACTGGTTGGTGGTTTCAATCCCTCTGAAAAATATGAGTTCGTCAGTTGGGATGATGACATTCCCAATATATCATGGAAAAATAAAATTCATGTTCCAAACCACCAACCAGTTATGTAATGCTGCTATGTCTCGTTCTACGAACCGGGTTTCGTCGATCCCTTCGTCCCCCTTCCGACATTGTCGCCATGGCCTGAACGGACTTCTCGATTCAGTATATCAGATTATATACGATTATATATATAATTATATATAAGTATGATGGAAATTCCACTTCCAGGTCACTTCGCCAGAGGGTACATGAAGATTCCCCATGCCCGACTTTGACATCTGCCGGTGAAGGAAGGCGCACAATTTGGCTGTCCCTGGCAGAACCTCACTACCTACTGGGCTCCGAAAATGGGGGATATCTCAACACGGCAGATGGTGGTGAAAATGATTAGCCATGAGATTCTTGTGTTCTCCGAATATGTTCAGAGACCCCGAAACTCAGTCCAACGTCCAAGGTACGTTAGAAAACTCCAGGAAACGCTGGCCAAGTCATGCCAATGATGGGTACATGATGAGTCAGTCTTACTGTAACCATTTTTTTGTGGGGATGACCATCCTCTGATGTGGCTACCCTCCAGTAATCAAGCATGGCTATGGGAAAATCATCGAACTGAATGTGGAATTGTGCCTTGCTTCGTTTGACTATTGATACTATTGGTGCACATGATGACCCAATGACCCAGGCTGCGTTTTTACTTTGTCGTACTCCTGGGTGGCTAGCTGTTGTGTCTTGCCCACCAGTCCTCTTTCACTTTGAAGAGGACGTGGTGTTTCCCCTTGCCTCCAGCAGGGTTTGTGGAGATCTTGGAGAAACGGATGGTTCCTGGTGCCACTATCAGTGACAGTTCAAAAAAATCACTTCCCACTTCCCCCCAATATCAAGATATAAAAAAAAACTGGTCTAGTTCTGGATCAATTCATTCTTGGGTCGCTTATTTGATATTAAGAGGGGGTTACCCCTCTAATTCCGCAGTTGTTCATGTTTTTTGCCAAACTCTCCAACTGCTCATTGATCCCATTTGAATAATCCTCCATCATAAACATGTACCCCATTTTTTCCATGATGAACATATATATATATATGAAATGTTATAAAATAGTTGTTTCCTACTTTTGGGGGTGCCCATTTTTTCAAACAGTTCAGACCGTTTACACCCCACATTGGCCCATCCCAAGATCCCCAGTGCCTCTTTTCTGCAAAGCTTCCACTTTCAAGTATTCTTGGTAGATCACTGCCTCTTCCTAGGCAGTGATTTTTGTTGGGTCGTTTTTTGGGATTTACCATCCCAAATATGTAGTTGTTTTTTTTCGAATTCTCGTTGGGCCAAATATATTTAACACGGGGATACAATGGGATGTATGACCAACATTGACCAACGATATGAGGGGTTCCAGAAAGCAGGATTAAGCTCCAATTCATCACAACTTTGAGGGGTTTAAGAGTGATAAACAACTCGACTTTGGGCCGTTGGGGATCTATTGATAGACAAAGCCACAGAACATTCAGAAGTGGTTGCTGATTCAGCCATCTTGGGATGCCCTGAACGGATTCTCCGCCCAGAACGGGTCAAGATTTCAGATCTTTAAAGGGGTCACCGGCATGGAACTGTTGGTGAACATGGGGGATTGAGCCACCGAAAAATGACAAGTCCATAGGGAATTTCATGATTTTCCAGTAGTCTTGAGGTATACTGTACAAAAATCATTATTTTCCATAGGGTATCACTATCTTTTCAGAGAGGTGAAGGTGACAGTGCAGCCACCGGATCTGAGCAACTTGGTGTTCCGTTAAATTCAAAACTGTACAAATCTGCACAAATGTCGGGATAACTCTGCTTATCATTATTTACAGTGAGTTCATTGTAGGTTCATTGGTCATAGTTCGCCCCGATTGGATGGTCAAAAAAACTTGAAGCGATGACCCAAAAAAGCTTCAGTGGTATCCCCAACAGCCGCAACGTTTTATTTTTACAAATATTTCTGAAGCGTGCTGCGAAGCCAGGCGCTGGAAACACCTCATTCTCCGGAACCTTCTCCGGAACCCTGTTGAACTTGACCTGCCTCTGCACAAAGCCTCCCGGAACCTTCTCCGGAACCTTCTCCGGAACCTCCTTCTCCAGAACCCTGTTGAACCTGACCTGCCTCTGCACCAAAGCTTCCCATACCTTCTCGGAACCTTCTCCGGAACCTGCTCTGGAACCTTCTCCGGAACCTTCTCCGGAACCCTGTTGAATCGAACCTGACCTGGCTCTGCACCAAAGCTTCCCAGACCTTCTCCAGAACCTTCTCCACAACCTTCTCCAGAACCCTGTTGAAGCTGACTTGGCTTTGCAAGGCTTCCTGGACCTTCTCCGGAACCTCCTCCGCAACCCTGTTGAACCTGACCTGGCTCTGCAACAAAGCCTCCCAGAGCTTCTCCGGAACCTTCTCCGAGACCTTCTCCAGAACCTTCACCTCCTCCGGAACCCTGTTGAACCTGACGTGGCTCTGCACCAAAGCTTCCCAGACCTTCTCCGGAACCTTCTCCGGAACCCTGTTGAACCTGACCTGGCTCTGCACCAAAGCTTCCCAGACCTTCTCCAGAACCTGAGAAACCCTGTTGCACCTGACTTGGCTCTGCACCAAAGCCTCCCAGGCCTTCTCCAAAACCTTCTACGGAACCCGTTGAACCTGACTTGGGTTCGCACCAAGGTTTCCTGGAACCTTTTCCGGAACCTTCTCCGGAACCCTGTTGAACCTGACCTGGCTCTGCACCAAAGCCTCCCAGACCTTCGCCGGAACCTTCTCAGGAACCTTCTCCAGAACCTTCTCCAGAACCCTGTTGAACCTGACTTGGCTTTGCACCAAGGCTTCCTGGAACCTTCTCCGGACCTGTTGAACCAAAGCCTCCCAGCTTCTCCGGAACCTTCTCCGGAACCTTCTCCGGAACCCTGTTGAACCTGACCTGTCTCTCACACCTTCTCCGGAACCTTCGGAACCTTCTCCGGAACCTCGTTGAACCTGACCCGGCGCCTGCACCAGTGTGCACCGGAGCTATTCTGGGCTGAAGACCCCATTATATAGCTTACGCTGTTGGGGAACAATGTAACTCTCCAAGTGAAGTAACAGTTTGCTATGGAAAATTGAACTTTTATAGTTGATTTACCTGTGTAAAGTGGTGATTCTGCATAGCTAAACGGCTAAATTACAAGAGGCCAATGTGCGATGATCAATCGGTGATTGGGTGCAAATTTGGACATTGAACTATAGTGGAAGCGTCTGTGTTTGGTCATGTGTAAATTTGAATCAGTCACAAATGGATTTATATACCAGTATACACATGTATGTGTACATATATATATATATACATACATTACATTACATTACATTACATTACATTACATTACATTACATTACATTACATTATATTAATTATATACATACATACATACATATATATATATATACTGTGTATATATATACTGTATATATATGTGTGTGTTTATACGTACATGTATGTGTATGTGTATATATATATATATATGTATACATACATACATCTATGTAGATATATATATATATACACATATGCCTATAAATATCCATGTATTGCCTTTGGGTGTTCGTTTCGCTGGCCTTCTTGCCAGCTTCGTCCAGCTTCAAACAACTGATCCTGGGCTTCGGCTGATCAGATGGGTCTGTGACAGATGCAGGGATGGATAGACAACTATAGATACGGATAAATCTAGATAGATATAGCAAACATAGAATGATATAGATAGGTATAGATAGACATAGATACAGATAAATAGATACAGATGTAGATATATATATACACATACATACATTAGCATCGATATGCATCGATATGCACCCATGTGCATAGATATATATATATATATAAGTAAATATGCATGAACATGCGTAGATATGCATAGGTGGATAGAGATACACAAATCACTTTGCGTTACATCACATCACATTACATACCTACTTGTGTATTGTTCGACCATATGTAGATCTAGATACCAGACATGAAAACTCTCTAGGACATATTTATATACATAATTGATGTAAGAAATATGCTGTAGCATCAGAGAAACACATTGGCTCAGGGCATGTACAGGTGTGTGTACATCACATGTCTATACATATATACAACATATATACAACATATATACAACATATATACAACATATATACAACATATATACAACATATATACAACATATATACAACATATATACAACATATATACAACATATATACAACATATATATATATATAACATATATACAACATATATATCTATACAACATATATACAACATATATATATATACAACATAATATGTATATATATATAACTTATATATAATATACAACATATGCAAATTTCTGCCAATCTGTGTGTATGGTATATATGGATGCCACATCCACCCTTTAAAATTATGATGTTCCGATTTTCAAAAACCTCGATGAAAATCTCCAGAAATCTGGGAGAAAATCCCGAGCGCCTTTGCCCAGTCCGGACTGGATTGATTTATTAAAATCATCCACTGTCCGTCGGAATTTCGAACAATCCTCAATCCTGCCAGATTTGTTCATGTTTCACAATTTACAATTCCTAATGTTTCCCGATTTGATCATCCTTCTCATCCCCAATTGAGATTTTTCTCTACTTCCTCTGATCCCCATATTTTCTCAATCCTCAATCCAAAAATAGAAAAATCGTCAATCCTCAATCAATCTCAGTCCAAAAATCAATCCCAAAAAAATTGGTCGCAACGCAGCCCAGCCGCTGCGCGAACATGTCCGGCAAATGGTCCCAGAAGTCGTCGGAATGCAGATCGACTCCAGGAATTGCGCCCACCAGGGCTGAACGCGGCGACGCCCACCATGTTGGGATTAAGCTAACGCCTAGCCACCCTAGCATCCTGTAACTATGGTAATATGGTAATATACATATGATGTATATATATATGTGTGTGTGTGTATAGATATAGATGTAATATATATATATATCACATACCCACTAAGTCCACTGGAACTGCACCCCCAAGTGAGTCCTCCGCCAAAATGTCCTAGAAATTCCGAGGATTTTTTACTACTTTGCTGGCGCATATATACCTTTTTTCACTTTTCCTGAGAAGTTAGTCAAAAATTCCGGTGTCATCAAACACAGCTTGCTGGAAAATCCAGCATCTATAGAGAATTTCCCCATATTTCTCCAGGGTTTTCCTATGGTTTTTACCGTTGAAACCTCCATGAATCATGGGGATTTCGTGAGGGCCACGCCTTTGGACAGCTGAATCCGCTTCACGGCCACCTCGACAACGTTTGGGATTTTAGAAGGATTTTGTGGTGGGTTTTATGGTGGTTTTAATTGGTTTTAATGGAATTACACTCCACTTACTGGGCCTGGGATATACCCTCCGGTTTTTTGGCGAAGCTATGGAATAGATGGCCAATTTCTAGATTATAAACATGTTGTTTTTTATGTTTTTTACCTTTGAAGGATTGTGTTTTTTTCGCAAAGCGTCGTTTAAAACACGAGGCCAGCGGTGGCTGACAAACTGCGTACGTTCCTCGCAGTGACTTGGCCATCTTTGAACACCCAGAAACCCCCATTCTTTGTAGCCTCAGTACTCAAACCTGGCAAGCTTGAAAATCCCACAGCTATATACAAAAAAATATCCATGAACAGTTGACTTATCATTTCTCAGAGGCTAAAAGATGGTAAAAAGCTGGAAAATCCAGCAGTTGACGCCATGGCTGCGATCGCCCGACCTCCATCCGAAAGAAGCGTTTCGACAGGGCCAGGGAACTCATCTCAGCGACCTCTCGAGTTCGGAGGGACTGGACCGTGGCTCCACCATGGACAGCTTGGAAAGATCATTGGTTAGCTGCATATGTATATATTTGTTTTTGTTTATTTATATATATATAATTATTTAGATTTATTTAAATTTATATATAATTATTTAGATTTATTTAGATTTATTTAGATTTATTTAAATTTATATATAATTATTTAGATTTATTTAGATTTATTTAGATTTATTTAGATTTATTTAAATTTATATATAATTATTTAGATTTATTAGATTTATTTAGATTTATTTAAATTTATATATAATTATTTAGATTTATTTAGATTTATTTAGATTTATTTAAATTTATATATAATTATTTAGATTTATTTAGATTTATTTAGATTTATTTAAATTTATATATAATTATTTAGATTTATTTAGATTTATTTAGATTTATTTAGATTTATTTAAATTTATATATAATTATTTAGATTTATTTAGATTTATTTAGATTTATTTAAATTTATATATAATTATTTAGATTTATTTAGATTTATTTAGATTTATTTAAATTTATATATAATTATTTAGATTTATTTAGATTTATTTAGATTTATTTAAATTTATATATAATTATTTAGATTTATTTAGATTTATTTAGATTTATTTATATTTATATATAATTATTTAGATTTATTTAGATTTATTTAGATTTATTTAAATTTATATATAATTATTTAGATTTATTTAGATTTATTTAGATTTATTTAAATTTATATATAATTATTTAGATTTATTTAGATTTATTTAGATTTATTTAAATTTATATATAATTATTTAGATTTATTTAGATTTATTTAAATTTATATATAATTATTTAGATTTATTTAGATTTATTTAGATTTATTTAGATTTATTTAAATTTATATATAATTATTTAGATTTATTTAGATTTATTTAGATTTATTTAAATTTATATATAATTATTTAGATTTATTTAGATTTATTTAAATTTATATATAATTATTTAGATTTATTTAGATTTATTTAGATTTATTTAAATTTATATATAATTATTTAGATTTATTTAGATTTATTTAAATTTATATATAATTATTTAGATTTATTTAGATTTATTTAGATTTATATATAATTATTTAGATTTATTTAGATTTATTTAGATTTATTTAAATTTATATATAATTATTTAGATTTATTTAGATTTATTTAGATTTATTTAAATTTATATATAATTATTTAGATTTATTTAGATTTATTTAAATTTATATATAATTATTTAGATTTATTTAGATTTATTTAAATTTATATATAATTATTTAGATTTATTTAGATTTATTTAGATTTATTTA